GCTTTTCCTGCTCCTCCACAGTGGGAAATGTGGTTCGACACTGACAATCTAAACCATCTACAAATGAAGTAAGCTTTTTCAGCTCCACAACCCCCATAATTCCTCATCTGTCAACTTCCTTTGAAACCCTTTGCTCTGCTGGAGGCTATGGGCATGATGATTTGTTTGCTGGCTCTTGGCCCAATTTCAGATCAGAAGACTGACTTAGGAATCTTGAGAGAATGACGGGATGGCCCCAAAGGATACCTGCTCCAAGATGTTTTCACCTCCAGAGGGCGGTGGCTAAGCTAACCCATACCTGGTTACCACTGTTATCAGCACTGTGGCTGTGAAGCCCAAACACTCAGGTCAAAGGTGGTCTGTGTGCCCATGCAGCTGGGTTGCTGGGTTCCCTCTGTAACTCAGGGCTCAGATGTCAGGAACATGTGTCTCTGTCTCTCTGAGAGTGAAATAAATCCTGGTTCCCCAGGGCAGCTTGCTGACTCAGACGCAAATGCCACACCAGTTGCTTTAATCATCAGTCGGAAAAGGTGGAAGATGTGGGGACATAAGATTAAAAGGAGGAGAAAAAAAATTGTAACCTTGTAGTCCCAAAGCTACAACTGGAAAAAGGGCCAGAAAAACCAATTCTGGCTCTAGAAGTTTTGGGTTTTTTTTTTTTTTTTTGGTATTTTTGTTGTTTTTGTTTTCGAGACAGGGTTTATCTGTAGCTTTGGAGCCTGTCCTGGAACTAGCTCTTGTAAACCAGGCTGGCCTAGAACTCACAGAGATCCACCTGCCTCTGCCTCCCAAGTGCTGGGATAAAAGGCGTGCGCCACCACCGCCCAGCTGCTTTAGAAGTTTTTCACCTCTATCATATGTCAGTTAACACACCTACTGCTCACCACCAGTGTAGACTTAAATGTGGTGGTGCAACCCAAGATTGATCCTTCCATCATCGCTAGTTTGCAAGCAGATGTTCCTTTCCATGCTTTAAACCCTCACTGTGCAGGAAGTGCTTCATGTAACTTTTCTCGTTTGACCTCAGAACAACCCTGGGGGATGGGGGAAGGCGGAGGATGATGATGATGATGGTGATGATCTGAGGCGGGGTCTCATTGTGTAGTTCTGCTTGGCCTGGGACGAAATACCTGGTGGATTATTATTATTTTTTTTAAATATTTATTTAGTTATTATGTATACATTATTCTGTGTATGCCTGCAGGCCAGAAGTGGGCACCAGACCCCATTACAGATGGTTGTGAGCCACCATGTGGTTGCTGGGAATTGAACTCAGGACCTTTGGAAGAACAGGCAATGCTCTTAACCTCTGAGTCATCTCTCCAGCCCCCCTGGTGGATTATTTTTATGATCTCTGTGCTACTGGGATCTAACACAGGGCTTCATACATGCTAGCAAGTGTTCTTCCACTGTCCTTTTCCTTTGGGACAATATCTTGCTTCATTATTGAACTGTCCTTGAGCTTCTGATTCTCCTGCCTCAGTCTTTTAAGAAGCTGGTTTATGAGTATGAACCACTACTGGGCTTCATTTATCTTTCACAGATAAGAATTCTATCTTTTAAAAAAGCAAAAACTTTTTTTTTTTTTTTGAGTGATGGATGGCTCAGTAGTTAAGAGTACTGGCTGCTCATCCAGAATTCAATTCCCAGCACCCACATGGTAGCTCACAACCATCCGAAACTCCAGTTCCAGAGGATCTGATGCCATCTTCTGGCCTCTGTGGACATCAGGCATGCACATATTATACAGACATACATGCAGGCAAAATATTTATACACATACAAAATTTTAAAAAGAATGTAAAAGCTACTGAGAAAGGATGAGAGCCCCACTACTTGACATTCTGAATGTCAGGTCCAGAAGAAACTTAGAATAAATGGCTAGCTGTGGCGTCTATTAGCATACAAAGGACGAGCTGGCCCACAGAAACACTCAGTACCTGTGGCCCTTTTCAGCTCTTCTCACCCCACCTCCCTATCCTAAACTTCTCCAGCTCATAGGCTTCTCTTTCCCCCACTCCTGCTTCCTATATAACCCTGACATTTCAGCCATGTGCTCTCTCAGCCCCTCCCTCTCTCATGGTCTCTTTTGCCCACACTCTTCCTTCCCTTCTCGTTTTCCCCCACCTCCTCTCATGGCCATGGTCAGTCTTTCTCTCCCTGCTCTGGACTCTTCCAGATGCCCTGGCTCCACACTTTCTCATATCTACAATAAAAACCTCCTCAACCATACCTTGGAGTGGTCATGTCCTCACTTTATACACTGAGAACCCAGCCTCTGAGTTAGCCTTGGCCTTTCACAGCCTCCATGGACCATGTCCAAAACAGCTCCTTGGTGAAGCAGAATAGTGAAAGAACCACCCCTGGATTACAGTGAGAGACCTACTCCTTGAAGAAACCTATGATCAAAACTCATGAAAACAGAACAAAAGTCACTGCTGGCTAGTTTGGACACAGGATAACAGGCTCTCAGGAGACTGAAAACGCTCCAAGTCACCGTCAGCCTTTATAGCTTTATGGTGGTTTGAATAGGAATGGCCCCCATAGGCTCATATAGTTGGATGCCTGGTCATTAGGGAGTGGCACTGCCTGACAGGGATCAGCAGGTATGGCCTTGTTGGAGGAAGTGTGGCCTTGTTAAAGGAAGCATGTCACTGAGGTTTTGGGGTTTCAAATGCTCAAGTCAGGCCAGTGTCTCTCTCTTCCTATTGCTGCTGAGATGCAGAACTCTCACCTACCTCTTCAGCACCATGTCTGCCTGTATGCTATTATGCTTCTGAAGTAAAAGCAAGCTTCAATTAAATGCTTCCTAAGAGATACCATAGTCATGGTGTCTCTTCACAGCAAAAGAAACCCCGACTAAGACAATCTCTCATCCCCAGAGCTCTTCCCTTGACATGTAGGAACTCACAGTACCAAAGTCAGAAGGCTCACTTTTCTGCTAGGCTAGCATTGGTTCAGACAGTAGTGGGAATGACTTGTGAGCCACATCTACACAGGCAGGTGCCCATCAATCATGAGCCTTTGCTAATACCTATGAAACATTCTTCAGACTTCCTGTACAGCGAAACATACCAGCATTTAGTTTAGAACTGCTGAAAGAACTTACATCATATTGAAAGCCAAGTTCTTGCTTTTAGTAGTCCCTGGTTAATCAGAATTCTTAAATAGAGCCTAGCAACCTGTTTTGAAAACAACTTCACATTAAGACATTCATGTGAATGAATGAACAAACGTTTCCATATACAGCTACTTGCTGCTTGATGATTGGCCATGCTGTGAGAAATGTGCCATTAGATGACCTCATCACTAAGGGAAATCATAGAATGTGTTCTGAGAATTCCTGGAGGCAGGATTGCCATTTCAGACTGAGGTAGAGGTTAGAGCCAGTGGCTGGCTGTTTAGCTTTTCTGGTCCTCAGGTTGAACTCTAATATCTGTCTCTGGGTTTTTATTAATCATGCTACAGACTAAAATGGCTGCAGTGCAGTCAAATTCAAACTTATACAACCACCACTATGTACTTGGTCTGTCATTAGCCAAATGTCACTATGGCTATATGTTTAAAAATAATACAAAGCTGACTAAAAAGGAAACTTCCTTTTCTATAACAACTCAGTGATAACTGATGAGCAAAACTAGGACCCTGAAGAATGTAAATATGCTATATCACAAAAAAGATAAACCCACATTCACATGAAACTGGTTAATTATATGCAGGGAATATCTGATGCATTAGGTAAAAACAAATCAGGATTTTCTGCTTGCCCTGTGTTAACCAGAGTTCGTGAACCACCACAGATCCACTTGTACTCTAGTGCCATGGAGTCAGCACTTAGGCAGAGATCCACCTGTCCGCCTGCTCTGATGGTCTGCTCAAAACACACACTGCATGGTGTCAGGTTAACAACACCAAAGTGGGCATATGAAGCTGAAAAAATAGGAATCTATTCACTGTCAGGCTCAAATGACACTCAAAATTGTGTTCAGGTCATGGGTTCTTGGGACTTTGTAAGCTCCTATTCACCTGATGAAAGATCTACCTGGAACTTCAATACCTCTTTTTCTGGGACAATGAGCAAATATGAATCTCCTGGGCACAAGGTTCAGAGTTTCTTCTACTTGATTACCGTGAGGCTGCTAAGGGAAAGAGCCTACACTCCTGTCAGAAAGTGTCAGAGGCACAGTGGAACGGGTATGACTGGGATGACTGGGGATTATGATAACAGAGGCAGGGTGACAGTTTAACACTAGTCCTGTCCTAGGCAAAATAAATTCCTTCTACTGCCTAGGCATGTTGAAAGAACAATCTGCGATCTCTGAGTAAACTGACTCAACACAAATGTTGCTTGCTCGTCTCCTGGGTATCTGCAATAGTACTGTCCATGTGCAGCTACCTCCATGCTGCAGGCGGGGGTGGAAACCAAAGTGACCTTAGAGTGGCTATGGGACAGCCAGCTCATGGCAGCTGGCTCAAAGATGCACAGTGCTCTGGGTTTGCTGGAAGAAAAGGGGTGTGCAAAGAACGGGAAGCTTGAGAGAAAAATGAGAACAAGTGACCCACGCCCAGAAGCCACCAGCTGCGATAAGTCTGAAGAGTGCACCACCACAGGGTAGGAGTGATCTTGGACGAGAGACGCCAGTCTTAAAAGCATCAGAATTGACCCCACTCCATGCTAGAGTTATCTATCAAAGGAATACACCACCAAGAAGACAAAGGACTTAGAGACAGATCTGATTGGACAGGAAGCCATGACCTTCCGCAGCCCAACAGTGACATGAGATAGACAAAGCAACGGTCCTGTAGCCCCGTGACATGCTCTTCAGAATGAGGCTGGTCTGGGCCCTGGACTCCTGCTCTCACCCTTAAAGCATGCTGTGGCCAGGCCCCAGGCTTCACCTGCCCTCGGGAGGGCTCCATGTGGCCCGAACACAGAGACAGGCAAGCTCATGCATGGGTTAGTATCACAGACGGCAGGACCATCACCACAGACAGAATACCTGGGAATAACCTACTTTGAGGACTCAAATGCAGATAGGTCTTCTGCCTTGGGCTTGAGGCTAAACCAGCAAAATAAAATGAAAAAACAAAGATATACCCTGTGAAATCAAAATGCCACATGTGTCATTTGCAAAATGCTCAGAAATTGAGACAAGTGACTTCATGTACTTTCATGGTTTGAACACTGGCCTCTCTGGTTTTTAGTACTCCAGGCTCTTGTGGCTCAGAGGCCAGCTCACCACTGAACGGGAATACAGGTATCCAAAAGACAAGGAGGCACGATGAGGGTCTGAGGTTGCTCCCTCAGGGCTGTTTTGGCTTAAGGGTAGAGGCTTCCTTTATACCTTTTTATTCCCCCCCCCCCCCCCCCCTTATAAGACAGGGTCTTATATAGCACAGGCTGGACATGAATTTCTTTCTTTCTTTCCTATTTTTCCTTTTTTGAGACAGGGTTTCTCTGTGTAGCTTTGAAGCCTGTCCTGGAACTAGCTCTGTAGACCAGGTTGGCCTTGAACTCGCAGAGATCCATCCACCTGTCTCTGCTAGGATTAAAGGAATGCGCCACTACCACCCAGCACGGGACATTTTCTATGTAGCCAAAATGATCTTTAATTTTCCTGCCTCCTCCTCCTGAGTTCTGTGTGCCACCATGCCTGGTTTTAACTCCCCTTTGACTTTTAATAATTTTGTTTGAAAGGAGAAATTCAGAAAACAACAGGGACTATAGGAAAGAGGGTGTGGAGGATGCAATGCCTCCCTGGTAGGTCATGTGACTGCAGTGGTTCTCTACTTGGTGTCCTCTGTAACATTGTCTATCTATCCACCTACCTACCTACATATATATCAGTGATGAGAGAGAGAGAGAGAGAGAGAGAGAGAGAGAGAGAGAGAGAGAGAGAGAGGATGTGATGGTAGGGAGACATAGGTTTCTCCAAATTTTCAGTAACAACTTAATCATTGAAAACAGAGACAGTCCTTAAGCTGGGGACTGCTTTACCAACTGAAATAAAGCGTGAAACTTAACCACATCAGTTTTCATCCAAACTCAAGGAAAAGGAGACAAGGTCTTATTCTGTAGACCAGGCTGGCCTTGAACTTGCAACTCCAGCCTCTCCCTCCTAAATGCCAGGGTTACAACTGTGTGCTACCACAGCAATCACTTTCTAACGTCTGTCTTACAGGGGCAATCAGCTAAAAGCAGAGCATTAATTTGCCCAAATAAGAGGTATATACATTCTTGTGCTGATAAGGAGGTCTGAGTAACTCCTAAATCCCTACAATGATGAGCACTCTAAGTATCAGGAGAGACAGATGGGATTCTGTGAGCCTCAGAAATGAAGTCTCATCTTATTAAACATTAAGGCTCTCCTATATACTTCCTTTTAAGTATGAAAAAGTTGGAGATTTAGAACATGGTCTTACACAAAGACTAGAGGGGACTCCATTCAACAGCCTTTAATTCATTGTGCTCTCTCATTAAGTAAGGCAGCTTCCTTGAGCGTAAGTCCCACTGGCTTTAAAGACAGAATCGCTTTAGTGCTCAGTGATAGATCAAAACCCATCCTCAAACAGGGACTCATCTCATCAGAGCTTTTAACACAAGCTCTACTTCCATCAAGCCAATGGGTTCATGGTCACTGGCAGCTTAAATTCTTTTTCTGTCAGGAGTTGAAAAACTCCCTCAACTAAGTACATGTTTTAAAAAGAAAGAAAGTAAAGAAAGAAGGCTAATGACTGGGCTCCTGAGGAGACTAGATGCCAACTTCACATTTCATTAATAAGCACCCTGTTCAGCAAAACCCAGGAGACTCGGGTACCTTTTTAATGGTATTGTGCTTGCTACTGGAGCCACCCCTGTCTGAGTTCTCGTTGTGTAGGATATCCAAGGCTGTCTCCCTCTCTTTGAGTTTCAAGGCCTCGATTTCCGTCTTGAGCTCATTGAGCTGCTCTTGCAGATGCTTGCTCTTCTCCATGTACTCCACTCTGTCAAGAGGAAACCATGCATCAGAACTGGGCAGACATTGAGATATAGAAGAGACTTGCCATGACTCACAAGTTTTCAGGAGCAGCCTGGGGTTCACACCTGAACCTGTCTACTCAGAAGTGAAGGAAGCTCGGGCTACCCTCTAAACTGCTATAAATCTCTCTCCACATCAGTGCAGTTGGGAGAATAATTACAGGGCCTCCAGGCAGGAAGAAAGCTCCATATAAACTTTTGGAGTGCTCTCCAAATAACCCCTGCTTTCAGTTCTGTATGAAAAATCATATCAGGGCTGGAAAGATGGCTCAGAGGTTAAGAGAACTGACTGCTGTTCCAGAGGTCCTGAGTTCAATTCCCAGCAACCACATGATGACACACATCCATCTATAATGAGATCTGGTACCCAGAACACTATATACATAATAAATAAATTAAAAAAAAAAAGAAAAGTCACATCAACAAGGCTCCTGAACCCTGCTCTTCTGCTTCCACCCTTCCTGAAGCAGTTAACCACATCTACTCTCCCACTTATCTTGAGACCTTTAGGAAAAGATGGCAGACATTCCACTTAGTCAACACCGAGAAGAAATAGGTTGCCATTTTCACCTGGCGAGGTTAAAGTGTTTAACTATAAGCGTGAACAGAAAACATAAGCAAACATTCTGAACAGATTTCTGTGGCCAGTCGATGGGCTCTGCAGCTTGTGTAGAAAATAAGTACTATGGGCTGAATGTAGTGTTGTCCCATTCGTATGCCGCGGCCAACTACCAATGTGTTAGGAGGTGAGGCCCTGGGCAGTGATTAGTTCATCAGCCTCATGATGGATTTATGTCCTTAAAAAAGAGACCCTAGAGAAATCCTGATACACATGGGCACACAGGAAGGTACCATCTATGAACCAGGAAGAAAACTCATTGAACTCTGAGCTGGCAATGCCTTCATCTTGGATTTCTAAGCCTCCAGAACTATGAGAAGTAAATTTCTTTTTTTTTTTTTTGAGAAGTAAATTTCTGTTGTTTATAAGCTTTCCAGCCTCTGGTATTTTGTTATAACAGCCAAACACACTAAGACAGTAAGAAAATACAAACTATAAAAAACCACGACACAGGACAGGATGTGGCCTTATACTGATCACAACCACATAAACACGTCCATCTGGAAAATGAGAAAGGGACTCAGTCTGATGCTGCAGCAGCAGCTCTGGATCACAGCTCCTTAGCTGTCCTCAGTAGAGGGATCACAGGAGGATAGCCTGGTTCTTGACGGTTCATGCTGGACTGCAGAGCGCTATTCTGAGTACCACAGTGAGTAAGGGTTTCAGTCCTTGACCTGCTCCCCATCAGCTATGTGATGCTGGGTGACTCATTAAAACTAAATCTAGTCTATTTTATATGATCGGAACAGCACAGCAGTTTTTTGGAGATAGGTCCTCATGTAGCCCAGGCCAGACTTAAATTTGCTATGTAGCCAAAGATAATCTTGCAGTTCTGGTCCTGTTATCTCTACTTCTTGAGTACTAAGATTACTGATGTACCATGCCTGACTTAAGCTGTGCAGGAGACTGAACTCTGGGCTTTGCGTATGTTAGGCAAGCACTCTACCAACTAAGCCACACCCCCAGTCCCTAAAACTCGCCTTTGATGCCAGTGGGATGTTTGTTAATTAGTATGAATTAAATGAGACAAAGACTCACAGGTGCTTAATATATAGGGCCTCTGTGATTGTTCTCTGCCAGCTGTGGCTATTAACCAATTTACTTCTGGCTCAAGGAATGAGAGGATCTTACTTAGATTTCATCTACAATGGCACTCCTCTCCATCTCTGCTCCACTTCTGACCACAAAGTGGAAGTGGAGGCACTTGACAGAAGTGGCTGTGGTCTGGCTAGTTGCCAGCATAGGGGAACTGGTTCCACCTGGACCCAGGCTTTGCTCAGCCTAGAAACTTGTGTTTTTTTCCTTTTTCTTCACCTTTGTTCTAGACTTAGGAAGCACTGCTGAAGAACATGATCAGAAGAAAACTAGTTTAGTACTATGCAAACAACAGTCTGACTGAGGGGATAGGACCCAGTCCTATTCTTCAGTCAAGGTTTGAACCACTATAAATTCCAGGTGACCAATCAAGTGTTATTTTTATCCTGGGACACTGACTGCTGTCTTGATCTGTTATCTTTAATTTCTAATTAGGAAACTTGTTCTCTAGTGGGTGACGATAGATCAGACTTTGCAGGGGTAATATCTGGCTGCTGTGGAATCCACTCTCATGTGCATGACTGCCCCAGCAGGCCACAGAGGGTACGTACTTTTCTTTCTCTATCTCCATGGAAAGTCGCTTCATGTCAGTATCCTTGAAATCAAACGACAGGCTGTCACCAATGATGTTGAAGCTCGGTATGTCAGGAGGAAGTGGCGCTGGGATTGGGTTCATGGGCTGTCGGTGAGAAAGCTCAGATTAGGAGGTTTAAATTATACAGGACAAAGTCCTCTACACTTAGTACTGCCAGGTAAGTGGTCCCAAAGCACCCACATTCAGAGAAGTCACTCTTCTCTTCTCAAACCTCATCATTTCCACGATCACTTCAATCAAATACAAACTTGCACTCAGCTTTTCGGGAAAGAAACTCCCAGGCACGGGGCTACGAGCTGGACAGAGAGAAGATACGCTCCCTGGCTCTAAGCACATAAAAGTCTTGTTCAGGAAGCAGATGTCTGCAAATCCTCACAGTTCAGTAAGGTGAACAAGAGCCAGAGTGGGAACAGCAGTACGGTTGTAGATAGGGTAGAGGGGGTCCAACAGGAGCCCTGGGCATCTGGAGTGCCCTGTAGGGAGGCTGGTAAGAGACTGGCTTTGGACCAAAAGGTTTTTGCACATATGTTAGAGGCTTAGATTCAGAAGACAGAGCCAAAGGAGGGCTTAAGATAAAGTAAGATGAAGTCATTAGAGTTGTTTTCAGGGCCTTTTCATTCCAGAACAAAACATCACCTAATATACAGCCCCTATCTACTGTTCAAGTGTCCCCATAATTTGTCCTGTTAAATTATAAACAGTACTGCTTTTTATCCCTCGGGGCATGGCCGTTTTCCCATCTGTGTAGTCCTGTATGTTTCCTTCTTTCTTTCCCTCCCTGCTGCTCTCCTCTCTCTTCCTCTTTCCTTGTCTTTTTCTGTGGTACTAGGGATGTGCACGTTAGGTAAACACTACCATTAAGCTATCTCCTCACCACATATCCCAAGCTGGTCTCAAACTGATGAGACTTCTGTCTCAGCCTCCTGAGCACTAGGATTACAGGTGTATGTCATCATTTCTAGCAAGTTTTCCATTCCTTGTTCAAGGTTCTCAACTCCTTCAGTTTCTCACCAAAGCTCTTCAAGACCCCTCTTGGCAACATGGCTGCTTTTCTCCTTTGCAGTTCTTTAGCACGGTGTGCAGTGCTGCTACAGGTCTTTCCCTCAAGCCCACACTGCAAAGTTCCCTCCTTTCATGTCTTTGTCTTTCTATGTCTACAGACTTCCTGAGGGCACACTCTGTCTTTTTCATCCTTGGATCTTTTCCCAGTATGGAACAGTGTGTGGAAGGAACCTTTGAGCTTTCATTTATGGCAATGAGGTCTAAGGCAGGGAAAGTGGCAAATGTCAAATGTGGCTCTGAGCAGGGACATCTCGGTGCTACATATACTCTGTTTTCAGGAATGAATGCTGGATATATGAGAGAGTCTGGCCTGTGAAAATCCATCAGGCTGGATAGCTATAATTTAGGTGCATCTATTTATCTTACACTTCAAAAAAAAAAAAAATTCCCAGAAAAGAAGAGCACTAACTGTTCCCCTTCTGGTGAGAGCAGAAACAAGCATAACTCTTCAGTAAGTATCACAAATGAGCACCTGACCTCACAGCTCTACTTATGAGAACTGATTCTACCAATACTGTCAAATATATGTGCAAAGATTTGTATTCAGGGATGTTCAGTGCAGTTGTATTCAAAATTGCTACAGAAATCATATTGAATACTCATCTATAGGGACTGGCTAGCTGAATTATAATCCACCCAGAAGACATGATGCCATTAAGGAACTGGTGTTTTCTCCTCCCGGACACACTACTAAAAAAAAGAGCAAAGGGACAGTAATTTATAAAATTTGTTCCAATAGATGTTTAGACACATCTATTTCAGGTACACGGCCTAGCTGAGCCCTCAGACTGTCACAGTCCCAGCTGTCACATGACTGTGACCATCTGAGAGAACTTGAGAGAAGATGTGAGTCTGATTAACACATCATGCCCAATAGACAAATAAATGGTTGCTTGAGGTTATCTGTTACTCAGGAGTAGATAACAAGGATACATGGCAATAGCAAATGGCTCGCATTTCTCCAACTCATACCCTAGGCACTTATGTCTCTGTGTCCTGAATGCATCTGTGCAATATGTGAACGTGTCACTTGCACAAATGTGCACTGTTTGTCATGCACATGACTGTGCACTGTGTGTAGCATATGCGAGAATGGGTTATGTGTTTGTGCTGTGAATGCATTGTGTCCTTGCCTACAATATTCCATCTTCTCTTCCCGGCTCAGCAGGGAATCCAGTTCCTCTGCAAAATACAGTCACACTGAGTCTTTCCTGTCTCCAGAGCTGGCTGTAATCTGGGCACCTGTGCATATCCATCAGGATAGAGATTTCCAATTGATGATATTATATGAATAGAGAACAAGTGAGTAAAACCTTTGCAGAGTGGAATGAGCAGAGGAAAGGAAGGGAAGTGATGTCTACGTATTTTATGACCCCATTTAGTACAAGCCATTCTAGTACTCCTAGTCCCAAAACTGAGGTTGGCAGCTGGTTCTGGCATAGCAGGGTCTCACTCTGAGGTGTAGAGTCGGTCCCTTCACAGAACTATGTTATGGTACCTAGTTTATACTGAGAGCTGAAGATTACATTTAGCTTGACACTAGGGATCTAGACAGCAAACTCTCTTGAAGGTGGAGACTGGAGTAGTAATAAACATTCCAGGGCTGGAAATGGCTCTACGGTCTGTTATCTATTAACTGACTAGTCAGTCCAGGCTAAATGGAAGACTAGGAGGGTTCTATCCAGGCTCTCTATTTGCTTTGCTTTGTCACCCTGAAGGCACTATGAGGTGAACTAAAGGGCTGTGAGGCTTAAGGAAGTTGCTAGACCAAAGCAGCCAAAGGCTGCTAGACTCAGCCCAGGCTCACTGGATATGTAGGCTTGGTGGCGATTTCCAAGAGCTTCTGCTTGGCTCTTCGCTCTGCTTCTCGGGCTTCCTGCAGGTCTTGCTTTAACTGATCGGCCTCTTTGGCTCTGCAGAGAAAGAAAGAGACGTTAGCTACAGAGAAAGGGACAGGGAGAACATGTAGACATTTACCTTACATCTAGAGCAAGAACCTAACTTAACCCCATACATGGCACCTAACAAGGCAAACAAGGACAATGTGACAGGGACATTTACAGGAAGCCAGAACTTCCAAAGTAAGAACAGTATTCCTGGGTATTGTTCATCTCAGTGGTAAAGCTAGACTGTAATATGGGGTAGCTGTGGGGAAACAACCAAAGCGGCAGTTTTGCAAGCCAGCAGAAGTACAGTGGTTTGTGCCTATGGTGCCAGCTACCCCAAAGGCTGAGGCAGGAGAATTGTGTAAGGCCAGGAGTTGGAGGCCAGCCTGGGCAATAGAGGCAGATGCAATCTCAAAATAAGAAAACAAAACAAAACAAAACAAAACTAGTGTTGGTAGCCCATGCCTTAAACTCTAGCACTATGAAGCAGAGGCAGGCAGTGTAGAGTTATTTCCTTTGTATTTTAAATAAATAAAGCTTGCCTGAAGATCAGAGAGTAAAACAGCCCCATTGGTCAGGCTTATAGACCAGGCAGTAGTGACACTACTACAATAGATATCAAGTGATGCATGCCTTTAATTCCAGTGGTGCACGCTTTTAATCCCAGCACTAAAGAATATAAGATGGGGGAGACAGCTCTCAGACACAGTCTTAATCTGAGATTCCTGGAGGCAGGATGGCCATCTCAGATTGAGGTAGAGGTAAGAGCCAGTGGCTGGCTGTTTTGCTTTTCTGACCTTCAAGTTGAACCCCATTTCTATCTCTGGGTTTTTATTAATCCTGCTACAAAGCAGATTTCTGAGTTTGAGGTCAGCCTAGTCTACAATAGTGGATTCTAGGACAGCAAGGGCTACATAGTAAAACCCTGTTTCAAAACAAACAAACAACATCAACAACGAAACCAACCCACCTCTGAAATAGGTTGAGAGAAGAGAAAGTGGGAAGGGCCCAGAGATACTATGCTTATTTCTGGGTGAGGAGTGGGCGGGGCAAAGGAGGGCATCATCACAAGCCTTACACTGGGGCCATAAAGGGAAGAGCGTGAAAGAATTTTTCCTTCATGTCCCCAGTAAAACACTTGTAGGCTGGGCTGGAGAGATGGCTCAGAGGTTAAGAGCACTGACTGCTCTTCCAGAGGCCCTGAGTTCAATTCCCAGTAACCATATGATGGCTCACAATCATCTATAATGAGACCTGGTGACCTCTTCTAGTGTGCAAGCATACATGGAGGCAGAATGCTGTATATGTAATAAATAAATAAATAAATCTCAAAAACAAAACATTTGTAGGTCAACTGTTCACTTTTCTTGGGCAGGAAGAAGTCCTGCCACTGAGTCTTGGTGTAGAACCCTGCCCTATGAGTTAGGTGTAGTATAGAAGTCTTGTACAGGAGTCCAGTCTTAGAGATATGGATCCATATCCATATCCCTATGGGGCCTGGAGTGGGCAGGCGTCAAGGAACCATATTCTCATAATGACATGCAAAAGTGGTGAGAGGAGCTGTGGAGATGGAACAGCAGTTAAGAGAACTGGCTGCTCTTCCAGAGGTTCAATTCCCAACATCCACATGGCAGCTCACAACTCTAACTCCAAGATCTGACAGCCTCACACAGACATACATACAGGTAAAACACCAATGCACATTGAAAAAAAAAAAAGTGGTGAGAAAAACTGTAGTGAATGTACCTTAGCAGCTAAGAGCCAAATTCAAGTGCTCTAAACTAAGAGAGCCAGATGCTGTGGGGAATGTGCCAGAGTTTATCTGAAGGCTACAGCACTAGAACAATCCAGAGCCTAGAATAGTCTAAAGACTACAGACAACAGTTCTATCCTTCAACCTGGCCACAAGCTGAGGCAACCTGGTCACAAAACACACAGCCGCTCTGCTCCCCTATCTAACTGCCTGAAAAACTGTAGGGAAATGGCACTTAGTTTCTGTTTTGAAGTAAATAATTGCCATTGATCTGCATCAAAAGGAACGAGACGAGAACCAAGCTGATTTTGTGGGTGTGTGTGGGTGTGGGCAGGTGCAGGTCAGTGTGGGGTGTAATCCTCTACTGCTCTCCACCTTAGTGGAGAGTCTCTCACTAAATAAGGAGCTCATTAATTCAACTAGCCTGGCTGGTCAGTGAGTTCCATGGATCCGCCTGTCTTTGCTTTCACTCCTAACTTCTGTGCCGAGGCTATGGATAAATGTCGCTGTGCTTAGGTTTTACATGGGTGTTGGGATACAAACACAGGTCTCCTCATGCTTGTGTAGCAGGTACTTTACTGATTAGGCCATCTCCCTGGTTCCACTTCCCCCTTAAAAAAAATTATTTTATTATGTGTATGGGTGTTCTGCCTGCATGTATGTTTGTGTACCATGTGCATGCCTGACGTCCATGGAGGCCAGAGAGGGGGTTGCGTCCCCTGGAGCTGGAATTATAAATGGTTTTAAGTCACCATGTGGGTGTTGAGAATCAAACCAGGTTCTCTGGAGAGTGGCTATTGCTTATAACCTGTGAGCCATCTCTCCAGCACACTGCTTCCCCCTCTTTTAAATGTAAAAAAGTCTCTTCTCAATTCTTTGGCAAAAAACAGTCTATGGATATGTTTAAATGTTTTTTTTTCCTGCAAACTTCACTATTAGAAGGTGTAGAGGCATGACAGACAGGTTCCCTAGGCAAAAATAACCATGTTTTATCCCAGTACTTCCATCCTACCAGCCTGTCAAGGAAGGAGTCATATAGTCCTGTTTCCACAACACAGAAGAAGGTTTGGAACCAGGCTCCAGTGCCGAGGACAACCACTCACCTCCTCTCTGACTCCTCAGCCATCTTCAGTGCCAGCACTTCAGCCTCCAGCACCTTCTGCTCCATCAGGCGCTTCTCCTCCTCTGTCCGAATGGCTGTGGCCTTGATTCGCTGCATCTCTTGTTCAGCCTCTGCAGCCTTTTGTGCCAGAAGTTTGGCCTCCTCCTCTGTGATCTGTGCCTTTTCGGCCAACAGGTCAGCTGTTTCCTCAGACCGCATCTGGGAAGGAAAGTGCTCTCAGATAGTATATATGCTTATCTCCCCACAGACTCCCCCAACACAGCAACAAGAACAAATATTTTTATGTGTATAGGTGTTTTGCCTGCATATATGTTTGTGCACCTGTTCGTGCAGTGCCTTTGGAAGCCAGAAAGGGCCAACGTATCACTTGGGGCTAGAGTTACAGAAGGTTGTGAGCTGCCATGTGGGTGCTGGGACTTAAATCTAGGTCCTCTAGAAGAGGAGCCAGTGCTGCTAACCACTGAGCCATCTCTCCAACCTCCAGGAACCAGTCTTAATCTCCCTATGTCTTCTCACTGAGAGACTCCCAGTCTGTCACACTAATGATTCAGCCTTGCAGGCCTTGCAGGCTCCTCTACAGGAGAAAAAAATCATCCTATGTAGAGAATGCATTTCAGCAGAAGTTTATGTTTGTTTATTTGGGAATAAACAATTTAAGCCCTGTTCTGTCCCTTTCAGTCAGTGATTCAAAAGTAGGAGTCATGCCCACTGCCTACTCCTGAACAAATGTCTGGAGACTATTTTCCTGCAGTGCTGGAGAATCTAATGTAAGGTAGGCTGGGCATGGCAGGTATGCCTCTCCTTCAATCAGGATCAAGAATACATAGTTTTCCTTGACTTTATAATGAATTCAAAGTCCAGTCCAGGGCACCTGAAACTTGTCTTCCAACTCATCACACCGCCAAATTGAATACATAAAAATGAATAAAAACGTAGAGCCCTGGCAGGTGGTGGCAGCGCACACCTTTAATCCCAGCCCTTGGGAGGCAGAGACAGGCAGATCCCTGTGAATTCGAGGCCAGCTTGGTCTACAAAGTGAGTTCCAGGACAGCCAGAACTAACAGTGAAACCCTGTCTTGAAAAACCAAAACCAAAACCAAACAAAAAACACTCCACATAAAGTCTTGGGCATGCTAGAAAATAGCTCTGCCACTGAGCCATATCCCAGTCCTAGGGTATTTTTAGACTGGAACGTCATTACTGGCAGTTAGCAGGTAGAGGTAAGGACATAACAAATATCCTTCAATGCAGAGAACCACTCTGTTAGTAGTACCAGATTTTGGTTGGTACTACTTTCCAAAAGTTGGTAGGGCCAAGGCCAAGAACCCTGACTCAGAGGCAAGTCAGTTATGAAAGTGGAGTTTGATTGCAAATGAACTGAACCTAAATTTTTCAAAAAGAAAAAGTACTGGTGTTTTAAAAAGTGAAATAAATTCACAGTCCACAGAAGGCCTAATTTCACAAGTCCCATGTCACCTCCAAGAGCCCTAACCCTCAGAAATCACCAGAGCTTCGTTGGCCATTGTCGCTTCTTCTTTCATCTGCAGAAGCCTTCTCTCTAACTCGTCCCTCGTGCGCTCAGCCTCCTCCCGCATCTGCTTCTCTCGAGCCAACCGCTGACGCTCCATCTGGGGGTAAAAGAACAGTTCCAAGTCACAGTGCTGCAGAAACCCAAGAATGGGCAGTTTCTGGAGCCTCACTCTCCTCTGGGCTTCTTTCCAGTGTCTTCACTTGAGGTAGCCTGGGTCATTCTTGTTGTCTGCTGCTCTCTGTCCTAAACTAACTGCAGAATTAAAAGATGTACTTCTTGAAACAAATTCCAGTAGTGAGTACAAATTCAGTCTCCACATGAAGAGAAAAGAGCATTCTTGTACACAATATGATATGACCTTACAAAGCTCTGTTATTTGGGAAACCTCACATGGCTCTGTTCTCTGAATGGCAGTTCTCCATACAGGTTCCTCCTCCCCAAAACAGTGGCCCAGAAAAACACAGCTCTCTTATCTGTTCAGATGAGCTACCTTGACATTTTTAGTCCCTACGGCCCCTTCACACAATTTCATCCACAATAGCACCACTTCCCCCTCTGCTTACAGAGAATGATAGTTCCCACTCCGAATTTCACAGCAGGAAGCTGCAGTGGCTTTGCACGGTCTTGTACAGCCCCATGTGGAGGCAACTCACAGGCAGGCAGGAACACAGACCCCATCCTTACAGAAACAGTACAAAGCCTCTACTGCCATCCCCTAGCCTTCTGGATCACAATGTTAATTGGGCCACCTGCCAACCTTAATAAATGGACCAAGACTAAAGACAGCACAGTTCCCTGTAATTCCAGGGCACTGAGTTCAGAAAGCAGAAGCCAGAAGTGGCCAATGCACTATTTTCTGCCTTAGATAACAAAATCATGTTTAATTACTCCTTCTGGCTTCAATCTCACCCAAACTCTAGTACTACAAGGCCACCCTTTCTAAATATGAAGTTCCCTAAGCGCCCTGTAATTGAAAGAATCATGCAAAATAGATAAGCAATAAAGTAAGTTCTTTGATTTTCCTCTTGACCTCAGTGAACAGTTGGCAATCTGTTCTTCAATTTCCACTAAAATACAATTTCCATTTCCATTATTCTCCTTTTGGAAAAAAAAAAAAGGACCAGGCTGTCCCCAGTTCCCAGCCTTGTACTTTCTATGAGACCTTCACCTAAATAATAAAGGACTTCCTGTCCTTATGAAGAGTTTCAGATGCAATCCGTCCTCTGAAAAGAGGCAGCACCAGCTCCACTTGACAGATGAGAAAACTGAGTCACACAGATGAAAAGATTTAGCTGCAAGGTTGCCATGTTCCACCAGGCAGCATTTGCACTATTTCCTCCCAGGGCCCAGGGGCCGTCATACTCCTCTAACTTCTAAACTTTCCTCTGCTGAAAGTAAGGTCAACGAGTATGCTTCTTAAAGTTGTCACTACTCCTCCATGTTAGCGTAGTAGCACTTTTTTGTTCAGTAGAACCTATACCATTATCCCTAAAGCATCTAAAAGAAGACACTGATGGTCTACTGTTCCAGAAAGCAGAGGGCAAGCTCACAGCTCACTGCCTCACACTGGGTATTTCTCTCTAAAGCCTGGGGCTAGGAGCCAGCCTCTCTGGGGTTCCCAAACCAGAGAACACCACACAGACTAATTATTACACCTCTGAGCTTGCAAGTCCTGAGGGGAGCCAACTGCAGCTGTAGCTACTCCATCAAACAGTTCGTCCCAGACCACAATTGAAATTTTCAGCAGCAAGGCTCAAACTAGCTGTGGATTTCAGTGAGCAGAGAAGGATTGTGAGTAGAAAACATCAATGTAGCCAGTCCAGTCTGCTGATAGGTGCTGCCAGCACCTCCTGCAGAGGCCCAGCCATGTGTGTCCAGCTGACCTGCAGCAAGGAGTGCAGCGGGAGCCTTATTAGCATCCACAACATGCACTGAAATGGCGTCTTCTACTCTATCACCATCTAATTAGAAAGGGCACTGACTTGGCAGGGAAGACAGACGTAAAGAAGGACAGCTAGACAGACAGGGAGACAAAACCATGCCTGGTTACCTTGTCCCAAGTCTGTGATAAGTATAGAAACAACTAATGATCTTGGTTTTTGTTTGTTTTTGTTTTTTTTTTAAGATATGCTATTGGAACTTAGTATGAATTTCCCTTAAAATTTTTATTATGTCTATTTTATTCATATATGTAAGTGTGCACGTGACAGTCATAGAACAACTTGTAGAAGTCAGTTTTCCCCTTCTACCATGTGACTGCCAGGCATCAAACTCAGGTTATCAGGTTTGGTGGCAATTACCTTTACCCACTGAGCCATCTCGCCAGCCCAAGTGCTTAGTTTCATAGTTGACAACCCATTATCTGAGCATTAGCTAAAAAAGATCCAACAGGAATGGAATAAGACAGGTACATCTATTATCAGGCTGACAACAGCCATCCTTTATCTCGTAGGCTGAGACTGACCAAAAGTAATATCATCAATTAAAACAAGGTCTTTAGGTCGGGTGGTAGTGGCACATACCTTTAATCCCAGAACTCAGGAGGCAGAGGCAGGCAGCTCTGTGAGTTTGAGGCCAGCCTGGTCTACAGAGGAAGTTCTAGGACAGCCAGAGCAGTTACACAGAAAAACCCATCACAAAAAAACAAAAACTAAACCAAATCAAAACAACACAAGAGGAGCTGGAGAGATGGCTCAGAGGTTAAGAGCATTGCCTGCTCTTCCAAAGGTCCTGAGTTCAATTCCCAGCAACCACATGGTGGCTCACAACCACCTGGAATGAGATCTGGTGCCCTCTTCTGGCCTGAAGTCATACACACAGACAGAATATTGTATACAAAATAAATAAATATTTAAAAAAAAAACAACACAAGATCTTTAATGATTATTATTCATTAATGTGTATGAATGAGAACACGAAGTTTGTGCACATGTCCTATGGTGCATGTGTGGATGTCAGAGGACAACTCTGTGGAGTCTGCTCTCTTTCCATCTTTCCATAGGTTTCAGATATCACATGAACAATGTCAGGTTTGCACAGCAAGTACTTTTCCTTGATGAACCACCTTGCTAGCCCTAAAACCGTGTCTTAGCTGGGCATAGTGGCACGTCCGTGATCCCAGAATTAGGGAGGCTGAGGCAAGAAAACTGTCTTGCGTTTGAGGCCTGACTTGGCTCCACAGAGTGTACCAGGCCAGCCAGAACTACATAGTAAGAATGTGCCTTAAACAAAGAAGATTGAGACTGGAGGGATAACTCAGTTTTAAAAAAGTACTTGCTATACCTGGGTTTGATCCCTAGCACTCACAAAAAAGGTCAGGCATAGTAGTATCATACTAGGAATGTAGAAACAGCCAGAGTCCTAGGGCTTGCTGGCTTAGCTTTATCAGTAAGTCCCTGGCCACTAAGAGACTTTGTCTCAAAAGATAAAGTAGATATTCCTGAGGAATAATACCTAAGTTTGACCTTTGGCCTACAAAATCAAGTGCACAAATACATAAATACACAAACCAAATGAAAGAAACAAAACCTGAAGTCTTACTCACCTGCTTCCTAGCCTTCTCCTCCCGAGCCTGGGCTTTCATCTGCTGAACTTCTAAAGAGTCAGCCTTCCTTCTCCTCATAAATAGGTCGTGGTTCCCAATACATAGCTGGAGAATCTATGGCACAGAAATAGGAGGAAATATGGTAAGTATATAAATTTACTTTGCGCAGCACTCGGGAGGCAGAGGTAGGCAGATTTCTATGAGTTTGAGGCCAGCCTGGTCTACAAGAGCTAGTTCCAGGACAGGCTTCAAAACTACAGAGAAACCCTGTCTCAAAAAACTAAACCAACCAACCAACCAACCAAATAAATAAATAAAAATGCCATTTAGCTGGGCGGTGGTGGCGCATACCTTTAATCCCAGCACTTGAGAGGCAGAAGCAGGAGGATCTATGTGAATTTGAGGCCAGACTGGTCTATAAGAGCTGGTTCCAGGACAGGCTCCAAAAGCTACAGAGAAACCCTGTCTCAAAAAACAAAAACAAAAACAATTTACTTTGCTGTCTACCAGCCCACCATGGCACAGCTGCAATCTGAGGAAGAAAGGATGGAATAAAACACAAAAGCCGTGTTCTCAGTTCTGGGAGGATACACAGTGAATAGAGGATGCTCCATTCATCACCACAGTGTCCTAAGTCAAGATGTGGCAAGACAGATGGCAGATCAGGGACCATCAGCTAGGACTGGGTTGTGTCAAACGTTATTTATATGGAAAGAAATAAGCTGGCTTTCTCCCTCATACCAAAAAGCTGATTCCAGTTTCAAAAGTAACTTTATTTGAAAATACAGAGTATTTTTTTAAATCAAGATAAGACATCAAGTAAGAAAACACAGAAGAACAAATGATCGAGGTTTTTTTTTTTTTTTGGAGGAGGGAGGTTTGAGACAGGGTTTCTCTGTGTAGTCCTGGTGTCCTGGAACTCGTTTTGTAAACCAGGATGACCTCGAACTCACAGAGATCCGCGTGAGATCCGCCTGCCTTTGCTTCTCAAATGCTGGGACTAAAGGCGTGTGCCACCATTGTCCACCCAGTTTACGATGGAGTATTTTATGTGTCGACATGAAAGGTGAAAATGTTTACTCGCCATAACATCATAAAGAAGGAAAACGAGCCTCACAAGGAGGATAATAATTAATAAAGAAAACAAACAAACAACCCAAGAGAAAAGTGGCCAAAAGACCCAAAACAAGAACTGAACAGGGAATTAGATTTGATCAACAGGTATAAAGATGTAACTTCATTAGTAATTATAAAATGCAAATCAACATGGCAAGTGGAGAGCTGAGATGTACCTCAGCAGAATGCTCTTTCTGACATGCACTAAGCTCCAGATTTTATCTCCACTTCCCACCTCCCCTCCCCTCAAAAAGGTTAATTGTATAGGTTAAACCAAAGAGAAAAGTATTTACCAAATCAAATATCATTTTATAGCTCTTAGCAAGAGAAACTAGGGCCAGCTCCCTGGCAGAGAAGCATGTGTATGCATGTGTATACATACATACACACAGATCATCTAATTCCTTAGAAAGGTTAGTTCTCTGTCATGAAAACCAGGCTCTCAACTTACCAGCTTATTAACACGAAGCTTTGAGGAGTTAAATTTGAAGACATCAATTTTCTTATCCAGTGGCTTAATAGTAAACTGAAAGAAAGGAGTACAGTTTCATATGACATCAACCGGGAATCCACAAAGTAGCAACTACACCGCCTCTAGTCCTGGCCTCCTGGTGCCCAGGAATAAAGCCTTGGGTAAGTCTGAGGCATACAGGGCCCAAGATTGGGGCTGCAGAATTTCATGACCCTAACCATCTTGGGTAGCTCTGAGGAACGGACAGTGGCACCCAGTCACATTGGCACAGTTCCTTGCCTTCATAAAGTTCGCAGTCTAGTAGGACTTAGTCCAACAACAGCCAAATACTCAAGAGATAACACCATATATCAGTGTCTCACTGGTGGGACATGTCACAAATATCCTAGAGGTTTAGAGCAGATCTAGCACAATGGGAGGCATTACAGTTGGTCTTTGAAGTATATGGCAGAATAGCTAAAAGATAGGGTGGAGGGGCATTCTAGACAAGTCAAATAATAAGAATAAATTCAGTATCTAGCACTGAAAATTAGAAGAGGAGGGGATGGTGAGCACGATACTGACCATATTAGCTCTTTAGTAATTTGCACTGATACAGCAGGCTTAGATGGATAGGAATGCTGATAGGTGGTGAAGAAGAAAAACCTCAGAGGGGGTGACTGTTGTGGAATATTATTTTAACTGGGCAAAGATGTGTTACATTTGCTCATGCTGTGGAGTATTTAACTGAGAAGGTGTGTGCATTTGTTTCTGCTGCATTTGTTTAATTATTAAAAGACGTGTTGCTGTTTCACATTGTTGGCCTAAGGCATCCGATTGATCTAGTAAAAAGCTGAATGGCCAATAGTCAGGCAGGAGAGGGGCAAAGCTGGCAAGCAGAGAGAATAAATAGGAGGAGAAATCTAGGTTGAGAAGAGAAGAGGAGCAAAGGAGGTAGAAAAGAAGAACAAGTTAATTTAAATTAAAAGAGCTGGCCAGAAATGAGTCTAAGCTAGGTCAAGCATTCATATCTAATAATAAATCTCCGTGTCATGATTTGGGAGCTGGTTGGTGACTCAAAAAAGAAAGCTTGGTATAGGTGACACTTAATACAGCAAGTTACTATGGGTTTCTGAGCATGGTCAGTAGGTAAAAGATGCCAAGAGAAGAAATACAGTATGAAGAAAAATAGATTGCTGTAAAAGAGAAAAATACAGTTCCTGAAATCAAAAGGATTTTGACAACTTAGAAAGAGAAACTTAAAACACACAGACATACAGAGACATAGACACACACACACACACACACACACAGACAAGTCAACTGCTACTCTGAACCACTGAGGAGACAGAAAGCTCCCAGATTCCTAGAATGCCCCTGGAAATGTAACTCTCAGCTGAACATGATAACACACACCTGTCATACTGGCTCTCAGGGAGGAAGATCATATGTTCGAAGCCAATCTGTTCTATAGAAAGAGTTCCAGGCCAAACAGGACAACATAGACCCGCTTCAAAACCAAAACAAGGGGCTGGAAAGATGGCTCAGAGCTTAAGAGCACTGGCTGCCCTTCTAGAAGTCCTGAGTTCAATTCCTACAACCACATGGTGGCTCACAACCATCTATAATAAAATTTGGTGCCCTCTTATGGCCTACAGACATACATCAGGCAGAACACTATAATAATAAATCTTTTTTTAAAAAAGCATATAGATCAAATATATTTTTAAAATATTTATATATTTATTATGTATACAATATTCTGTCTGTGTGTACGTCTGCAGGCCAGAAGAGGGTAGACCTTATTACAGATGGTTGTGAGCCACCATGTGGTTGCCGGGAATTGAACTCAGGACCTTTGGAAGAGCAGGCAATGCTCTTAACCGCTGAGCCACCTCTCCAGCCCAAGATCAAATATATTTTATACGCACATATGAAAATGCCTTCCTGACACCCATTACTTTGTACAATTAGCATATGCTAACAAATATTATAAAAGTACACACACATTCCCAAGAAAGACTTGTACAAGCTGGGTGATGGTGGCGCATGCCTTTAATCCCAGCACTCGGGAGGCAGAGGCAGGCGGATCTCTGTGAGTTCGAGACCAGCCTGGTCTACAAGAGCTAGTTCCAGGACAGGCTCCAAAACCACAGAGAAACCCTGTCTCGAAAAACAAAAACAAACAAACAAAAAAAAAAAAACAAAAAAAAAGACTTGTACAGCCACCCCTAGCAAAGCCGGAAAAAATTTAAAAAAATGATTGAGCCAGATATACAGGTCTTGCCTGCATGTGGTTTCCATTCTCAGGACTACTGAATATAAAACAGAAAATGGAACAAAAAAATTAGTTGCTTAGCAAATAAACTTGCCGAGGAAGGCAAATTCTTGGATATTTCTTTACATGTTTCTATTGTCCAATAAGAAATGAGCACACATAGACCGATGGCAAAAACATTCTTTGTTTAGACTTTGGACAAGTTAATTTAGTCATAGTATTGTTCTGGTGTAGAATATTATTTATGAATTTCATAAGCTTATTTTTAGCCTTGCTAATGAACCCTAGAGCTGTGAGTGGGAAGTCACAAAAAGTACGGAAACCACAGACAGGCTCTCTGTCACGTCAGGCCACATACGAAGAATCACTAACTGTTTTAGCAGGATGACTGCTATCCATAAGTCCCATTAAGGCATGCCCAAGTAGCTTGGAGTCTGCTTGCTGTGCAAGATACTGATATGATAGAACATGATGGCCTTGAGAGGGCATGTTAGAGTTGGTTGTGTCACAGGGTATACTAGGGGACCTTAATCCTTGAGCTCTGAAAAACAAGTATTTGAGGAACCATTAGCGAAAGTGGGAGGCAAAGGACTAGTTACACAGTGGAACACTGACTACTTTAAGTCACATTGAGATTCCAATTTAAGAACCTGAAAACAAACAAACAAACAACTACCTAATGCTCACTTCTCAGGACAACCAGCTACAAAACCAATTGTCAGAATGTTTAGATGAAGAAATGCAATTGGCCTGGCAAATGGCTCAGCAAGTAAATAAAGGTGTTGTTACCAAACCTTAAGAATGGAATGTGACCAGGCAGTGGTAGTGCACACCTTTAATCCCAGCACTAAGGAGGCAGGAGCAGGTGGATCTCTGTGAGTTCAAGGCCAATCTGGTGAACAAAGTGAGTTCCAGGAGAGCCAGGGCTGTTACTCGACAAAAAAAAAAAAAAAATAAAAAATAAAAAAAAAAAGGAGTGTGACCCCTGGTACCAACGTGGTAAGGGAGAGAAACGATGCCTAACAAGTTGTCCCCTGAATTCTATACACTCACCCTGGCACATACTACACCCCCTTCCTTCAATAAGTAAATAGATAAATGTAAAACAAGCAGCTCACTTTGAATTCGATGTGAAATGCCTAACCATAACACCAGCATTTAGAGGTGTTGAGACAAGAGGACTGCTAAGTTCCAGGCTATGCAACTTAGCCTTTTGTCTGAAAGATAAAAATAGAGGGAGAGGAAGGGAGGAGGAAGAAGAGAGGCAAGTTCAATTTGCTTCAGCAAGCATGGTTGAGTAATCTAAGCCACATAGTATTGCTTACCTTGAGCTGCTAAAAAAGAAAGAAATTTGCTCCAAGACCTGCAGACAACATGAAACATCACTGTCACTCATGGCCTACTCTGCGTGGACGTGCACAGGCCAGGCTGCCTGCTTCTGCCTGGTGTCTTGTGTTCTCAGGGTCCGTCTCTGGAACTCCCCGATAAACAGAAACCACTCTGGTTCCCAGGCCTTGCCACTCTACCCATCAGACATAAGATCTCAATGTACCTGTTTTCTGGTGACATGGATATCAAACATATCCCTGCCTTTACAGTAATTTCTTCTGAGAACTTGATCAGAAGTTAATGCACGTGTAATAGAGGCCCTCACAACAACATCGTCAGCTCCTCCCACTTTACTCTTTATTTATTTACTTACTTACTTACTTATTGAAGGGTAGAGTACGTGCCCAGGCAGATGTGTGAAGGTCAGAGACATCCTGTATAAGTTAGTTCTTTTTTTTTCCACCATGTGGGTCTTAGGAATTGAAGTAGGTAGTTCGGCTTGATAGCAAGTACCTTTACTCACTGAGCCATCTGAGCAGCCCACATTGTATTTTATGTTCTAGAGCAGTCAAGCCATTACTGACTGGAGGGCTAATGATGGACTTTCCTCATTTCTGTTTGCTCTCTGGCACAAAGCAGATGTTTAATAATTCCTTTAAAATTAATGACTAGGAAGCCAGGGTCAGTAGGACAGCAAAAGTCTTGCATGTGCAAGGCTCTGGGTTTGATCCCCAGCACCATATAGTAAAGATTAAAAAAATACTAATGAATACATAAAACATAGGACTGCTGCATTTGAAAAGCCATCATCCTATATAGAAATATGTGAATCTACTCTGGGCATATGCCTGTAATCTCAGAATTTAAGAGGCTGAGGCAGGAGTATTGCTGTCAGTTCAAGTCATTTTGGGCTACACAAAAATATTTGAACCTAATGAATCAATTAAAACCCAAGCTGTTAGATACTCCTGTGAGGGCTTTTCTTTTTTCCTTTTTTCCCTTTTATTTTTTGTTTTGTTTGGTTTGTGTGGTTTTTCCAGACAGGGTTTCTCTGTGTAACAGTTCTATCTACACTAAAACTTACTTTGTAGACAAAGCTGGCCTCAAACTCATAGAGATCCGCCTGCCTCTGCCTCCCAAATGCTGGGATTAAAGGTGTGAGGGATTTTCTTAACCAGATTAGGAAGCAGGAAGACCTACCCTAAATCTGGACCATTTTTTTCTGATGGTAACCCACATAAAAGGACACAGAATAAGGAAACTTTGCTTTTGCCTGCTTGCTCTCACTCTTGCTAGCAAGTTTATATATCCTGGTGCTACAGCATTCGTTTACCAATATTAGAGCTGACTTCAATGGGATTACAACACAGACTAAAACCAGAAGTTCTTCAGGAATCCCCCAGGCCTTCAACACACATCGAGACTGCAGAGACATCTAGCCTTGTGGATTGAACAACTTCTGGATTCTCAGTCTCTCCAGTGAGGTGGCCATTGTTGGACTACTTGGGCTGTGCAAGCCAATCTAATGAATACCCTTTTAATATACATATTCATCCTATCTGTTCTGTTTCTTTAGAGAATCTTGACTAATAGACATCTTGACAAAAACAAAATATATAACTGTCAACCTGGCATGGTGGTTCACGCCTTTAATCCCAACATTCAGGAAACAGAGGCAGATCTCTGAGAGTTTAAGGCTGGCCTGGTCTACTGGTCTAAATAGCAAATTCAAGGTCAGCCAGGACTACACAATGAAACCCTGTTAAAAATTAAGACAAAGAACCCCCCCCTCCAACATGCACTTTCTCTGTCTCTCTCTCACGCACTTTTCCACTACATGTATCAAACACAGTACATAGAGAAGCTTAACATAGATCACACTTAAAATACAAAGAAATAGAAAGTCAAGTTATCAGAAATGTTCCTTTTTCCTTCTTCTGTTCTTTGGGGTTTAGTCTTGACAAGTTGAGCTGCTCACTCTCCTGTTAGTCAATAGTGGGCTTTAGCCATGCCCTTTGAAGAAGGGATGCCAAAACCATTCCGTAAGTATTTTAAAAATCAACCAAAGTTCTAAAGCCTGGGAATTAAGACTTTCACTGACAAGGAGATGGCCTGGATTGGGAGCTTTGGCAAAGAGGAAAAACAGGAAAGGACCTTTTGCAGGACCAATGTACCCCAAGTGGCACCTGCAGTATAGACATGTCCTACCTCCTTGTCGCTGTAGGAGATGTTTCGGATTTCATTCCATGGGAAGGAGATCTTGGGGGTCAGCCTGTTCTCGGGGTCATAGATATGAAGCCCCAGAGCATCCACACCAAGCAGCAACTCTGTGCCCTTTTTATTCTGCAGAGCCAATAAAGAGCAGCTGTTGTCAGCTTCCAGCTGGGGATTTTAGTCAACTTTCTAAAGAATTTGGCATATATTGTTATATTTGACAAGTTTCAACAAGTCTCAACAGAAACCACAGCTCTCTTGTAACCCAGGAGGCTTCCAGCTTCTGAATTTAGGGAAGCAGAGGCAAAACAATACCATTTTTGTGACTGGTGTGTCCCTTGAGTCACTGTGGACTCAGGCTCTTGTCACTGGCTTGGTGGTTGAAGAAATGGTAACTTAAATGTTGTGAATACTACTTAAATAACCAGATTATCAGAGGAGGGCCAAAATCCACATGTTTGAACATTTCTCCCATTATAGGTGCCACTGTTACTTTGTGGCAATGTTCTTGCCTGGCACATACAAAGCCCTAGCTTTGATCATCATCACACACATAAAAGTTGCTGGATGGCTAGAAGGAAAAACTTCAGTCTAGGAACTAGATGGTTTTATTTTAGATTACAATGCAGTCTTGTAGTTTTACTATACTATACCCCAATATGGTAAAACGTTAACTGCATTTTGGGGGTAGCTATGTGGTGGGTATATATGGCATTCATTGAAAACTTAATTTTCCCATATGTTTCAAATGCCTGATAATGTTGGAAGAAATGTATACAAATTATACTTCTATGAAGCTGTTTAAAATACCAGTTAGTTATATAAATGCTGTATCTCTGAGAGGACTCCTGGGCAGCAGTTAGTACAACCAGAGGCTTAGTGCCCTGTGCTCCATGTGACTGACCCCACTATGGAGCCATCTTCATAGGCAGACCAATTTGCCAGTGTTGTTTAGCCTTTGTAGTGGAAAGAAACTCCCTGCACACACAAGGACACTATAGCTCCTGACTCCTTGCTGACAGTAAGGAAATTGAGCCAAGACTCAAGGCTAGGACAGCAGATCTGCACACTGAGAAGGTGCTTGGGCTGTGATGAGAAGTACCAATCTAACGGCAGGTGTTGGATGGGGAGGTGTACGCTCTAAGATAAATCTCTCTACTTGTTCTAACACCTGAAACCAGGCACTGCCACCCAGGCACAAAAGTGTTCTTCTTGTCTGCAAAGCTTTTCAAAGTGATGTGCTAACAGAAGTGAGACTTGTGTTCTTACATCTGTACCCCGTTTTGGAAAATAAGATATTTCTTTATGTTTCTGATGATTCAAATAAAAAAAGAAAGGATTCCACCTTTTGTTATCATTATGACTATAACACTCCTAGAGACTAGAGAGGGTAGCATAATAACTCCTCTGAGATTGTTTTAATCACCTAGTACCCCATTAATATGTTCAAATACCTAATTATCAGTTAAAATAAAATGTTTTAAGCATTTATCTTTCCTAATGATAGAATTTAAGATCTCTAACATAAAACTACTAAAATGTCTTTAACTTTGTCTATTGTTCAACATAAAAAACAAACAAAAAGTAGTTCATGCTCATCTGATTCATGCAGAAATATCCCTATGAAGAAGCAGCAGCTGGTTTGGAGACTGCTGAGTAGCTTAGTGAGTCAAACTGCTTACTGCCACACCTGATGACCTGAGTTTGACCCCCCAGAACCCACATGGTAAAAGAAAACTCTAGCATATGATCCTCTGCTCACCACCAGGAATAAATAAACAAATGAAATATATATATAATTTTTTTCTTCTAAGTAAAATAAATTTATAAGGAACATTAGTGGTTTTTTGGCTTTTGTTTGTTTTGTTTTGTTTTGTTTTATTTTTGAGATGGGTTGTTTCTCTGTGTTGCTCTGGCTGTCCTGGAACTCACTCTGTAGACCAGGCTGGCCTCAGACTCAGAGATCCACCTACCTTTGCCTTCCGAATGCTGGGATTAAAGGTGTTCACTATCACTGCCTAGCCTAAGAGGGTTTTGTTTTTTGTTCTTGTTTTTTCGAGACAGGGTTTCTCTGTAGTTTTGGAGCCTGTCCTGGAACTTGCTCTGTAGAATAGGCTGGCCTCAAACTCACGGAGATCCACCTGCCTCTGCCTCCAAAGGGCTAGGATTAAAGGCATGTGCCATCACTGCCCAGCCCTAAGAGGTTTTTAAGGACTGCAAAATGTTTTCTTTCTTCCTTTCTTCTTTTCTTTCTTTCTTTTTTAAATACAATTAACAGTGGTGGTAGGTAACGGAAGTTAGGTGGGTTGACAAAACCACAGAAACCTACTAAATTGGCCTAACCTCAAAGAAGTGGATGTTATGTAGAAATGAATGAATCTTTTAATTATTTAATATTTATTTACTTATATGTTGAGTCTGTGCATGCATGTTTATGCTACAGCACACATGTGAAGCTCTCAGACAATGTACAGGAATCAGTTCTCTGCTTTGACCATGTAGATTCCATGGACTGAAGTCAGGATATCAGGCCAGGCAGCAAGTGCCTCATCTACTACTCATGAAACATTAGAAACAACCTTCTACATTCTTTTTTATTTTTTTAAGATTTGTTCTTCTTATTATTTTTAGTTACATATTTATATGTCTGTGCACATAACTGCAGGTGCCCTTGGAGGCCAGAGGCATCAAATTCACTCTGGAATTGAAGTTTCAGGCAATGTGAGCCTCCCAAACTGGGAGCTGGTAACTGAACTCAGGTCCTGATGCAAAAGCAGTATGTGCTCTCAACTACAGAGCCATCGTTCCAGCCCCTGCAACCTTCTGCATTCCTATAAATACCTTTTTAGGCACCTGCTTATTATAGCAGAACATTTCAGTGTGCCCTGTTTTGTTTTTTATGCAATGAAATCCACAAAACCTGTATTTAGAAAACAAATTAAGTAGAAAGCTATGCTGGAGATGTGCTTAATTCCATTTACTCCAAGTTAACATAAGGATGTAGGAACCTGAAAAAGGAAAGCAAAGATTAACTGGAGTCAGAGAGGCAGAAGATGACTGCAGGTGATCTACTCATCTGTGGCCATCTTAACAACCACTCATCCACCAGGGAAGAAAAGCTTGGGTATACAGCATGGACTCTGTTGGAAGAAGCCATGGATAGATACACTGCAACCAGAAAAATCCCACAACAGGAGAAATGCATACTCTAGGGCCACATCTGAGCAGAACACAAATGCCTTTCTCTGCAGAAGCACTGGTTCCCAGAGGCCTGGGGACCATTAATGGTCTGAACAGAAAACTAATTAGCCTCACAGTGAGAATAAGAGTTCCACCCAAACAAACCAGGAATCTGTAAGAGCAACCTTACTTTCCATGGGCCCCAGGAAAAGATACTATTTCCAGGTGCTCCTTGGATCTCACAAGAGGCCAGAATTATCAAATATTACATGGTCAGCATTCCAACAAGTTTTGCCGAAGAGAACCAGGCCTGTGTCCCAGAATGTACCACTGGCAATTACCTCTGATCTAATTTAAGTCCCCAAATAAAAGAGGAGGCTCTAGATCCCTGTCTTTCTCTTTTCTTCTTTACCCCTGAACCATAAAAGACTCTAACTACCCTGGAATGAGGAAGCAACCCACTGGGCTATGTGGCCCTGGTTCAGTCTATCTGGTAGCCAGGAAACTTGGGGAGGAGTCAACACACCCGGATTGCAAAGTAGTTCACCCCATACATCTCCAGGTCCTGTGCTATCTTCAAATACTCCATTTCAGCTTCATCCCTGTAAGGAGAATGGAAGAACACGGTCACTGGGGCTAAGTGACAAGGGTGGAGGACAGACACTCACCAAGCTAAGTATTCTCAGCATGCTTATCCTATGGATTTACGACACCTGCAGAAGATAGGAGACAGACCAGACACCAGCAGAGCTTTTCCCAATCCAGAGTCTATTAAACACAAGCAGCAGAATTTCCCATCCCCGTGAAAATAAGAAAACAGACTCATTACACTGTCTCTTGGCTTCAATTTCACACTCTGCCCTTGGTAAATAGTGGCATCTGTCTCAAGTGATTAAAAAAAAAAAAGAATGTGGGGGTTGGGAGTGTAGCTTAGTGGTACAGCACTCACTTAGCACGTGTACAGCTGAGTTTCATCCCTTGCAATAGTAAAAAGAAAAACCAAAACCATGGTGTGTTATTTTCAACCTCAGATGAATTATTTAAGCTGTTGCCTTATCTCTGTGCACTTTCTTAACCCAGAGGTTTTAGGAGTGAACAAGCTTTTCTACACACTATGACAGCTTCTACTTTCCTGACTTTGTCTCTTGGGGTTAAGAGACAAAGGGGTTACTGTTGAAGGTTAAGGCAAGAACTATCTGAGCCATGAAACCCAGGACAGTGGATGAATATTTTGTGTTATAACTCAAACTTAAAGCAAGCTCTGAAGCAGCAGTGACTTGCAGAAAACTCCCCAATAGTTAAATGTATTGAAGTAATTCAACTCAAGCTTCCCTATGACCTTGTCCTTGTCCTTCTCTCTCTCTCTCATCTCAAAATGCTCTCAGATGGATTTTAAAAATTCACCCTGAGAGAACGCCAAGTGTTGGCAAGCAGGTGGAAGAACCAGAAATCACACACACTGCTGATGTAAATTGATTCAATTACTTTGGGAAACTATTCAACATTACCTATAACAGCAAAAACCAAGAAACAACCCAACAACTCAAGAGTCCTTCAACAGTAGAATGGATAAATAATCTGTTATACTAATATACTGGAATTCTGCACAGCCATGAAAATGGGAAAATTATTGCTACATGCCATGTACTCAAATCTCACACGATGATCTTGAGAAAAAAACCACTTAATATAGAAATTGGTGCATTTATCTAAAGTTTAAAATGGATGATGGTGGACTAGAGATGCAGCTCAGTGATAGAATGGTCAGCTGCCAAGCATATGAGAGACCATGTACTTGATCTCTCAGCACTACAGACTCGTAATATAACAATGGTAAATTAAAAAAAAAAAAATCAATGGGCAACACCAGTCTACGGGAACACTAATTAGAAATTGGGAAACTGAATTAGATGTGATGGCACAAGCCTTTAATTTCAACACTGAGTAGAGGCAGGTGGACTTCTGTGAGTATTGGCCAGCCTGAAATACATAGCAAGTTCCAGGACTACAAGAGCTACATAGTAAGACTTTGACCATAAAAAAAAAAAAAAAAAAAGAAACTGGAAAACTAGTTATCTCTGGGGAGAAAGTCATGGGCTATTTCTTATCATTTGTGATAAATGATCAAACAGTATACTTATGATCTGTCCATTTTGTGGGTATAAACAAAAGAGATACCTCAGTAGTTAAGAGCATTGTCTACTCTTCCAGGGAACCCATGTTTAATTTGTAGCACCCATAGTGCCCCCAAGCCATCTGTAACTCCAGTTCTGGTGCCACCTTCTGGCATCCTTAGGCACCAGACATGCACACCAGGCACGGTACACTGACATACATATAGGGAAACATCCATATACACACAACAAACAAAAAATATTGTAGGAAGCTGATTTGAAGGATTAGGGTGGGGGCTAATACAAAGATGATCAACATCTAAAGCTACCAGAGGAATACTTACAACAAACTACAAATTTTTGTGTTTTAATTTTAATTTAGTAAAATTGTAGGTTGAATAAAAAATATTGAAAGAAACCTAGGGTAGTGGTAACATTTTACTAACACTGGTGATGGACATATGCCAAAAGGCACAAATTTTTATTTATTCATATTATTATTTTTTGTCTGTTTGTATGTTTTTCAAGACAGGGTTTCGCTGTGTTAATAGTTATGGCTATCCTGGAACTCGCTCTGTAGACCAGGCTGGTCTCAAACTCAGAGGTCCACTTGCCTCTGCCTCCAGAGTGCTGGGATTAAAGGTATGTGCCACCCCTGTCCGATTACAATTATTTAGAAAGTAATTTAGTTTCACCTATCAAAACAAAATGTTCATGTTCTTTGATCACTAACTCTCCTCCAAGAATCTACCCTCAAGTCTTATGCAATTATGTAACAACATAAAATTATACATTGCAGAGTAAAAGTGAAAAGCAGTCATCAATGCCATCAATGTAGGCCTGAATATAAAAAAAAGGGCCTTCAGACAGAATGTTAAACTAAACTGCCAGTGAATGTATCAGACTTGGATATCCTGATAGGCAGAGCACAAGACCACTTTTAATTAATTAATTTATAAATTTGGTTTTCAACCCAGAGTCTTACACATTCTCGGCAAGCACTCTACTGCTGAGCTACGTGCCCAGATGGTCATATGCCATTTTTATAGCACAACAACAAGGATGGATGCACATGAAACTGAGGACCAACACTACTCCCAGTTCTCGCTTTTCCTTTCATATACTTCAGGACTGCATTCTGTCCTACAAGCATGTCCTAGTTTTATAGTTCTTTACGGGGGGAAGGTATGAAGAAATGTAAACAAGGATGAAGCAGCTTTACCTGGCTCTGCCCCGGTGCTCCGCGTACCAAGCAGTAATTCTCTCCTCCCACATTTCCGGAGTCATCTGATATAGATTTATCACCTACCAAAAAGACAGCAAGAGAAAATCCACATGCAAAGCAAGTCTGGATATTGTTTGCCATTTTTATAATTATAGTTCATTTTTACAAAACAGCAAAGCTATTTTTAAAAAGCTGCATGCAGGGAGAGTCACACACAGAGGTGGGTGTATACACAAGCACCATTCCACTGGAGGAGCAACCTGCAGGCTGCAGCATTCCTCAATCCTAACTGCACTCCTGGGCTGCCAGGGTGTTCATCTCAGGGACCACCTCTGACAGAAAGCAGTGCTTACTTATGCGGGCCTTCAACTGCAGAGAAGCCATCAAAGGATAGGTAAAGGCAGGGAAGGGTTGGGGAAAGCCTTTATTACCCAGTGACAGATGATAAGCAGGGCTATAAGAAGGGAAACAGCCAAAGGCTGCTTCTGTGTCTAATGAGTAAGATGAACAAGAGGATTAAAAGCCCCTCCACCTCATCTTCTCCATCCCAAACAGCTCAATTCTGCACAGAGAACACAAATCTCAAGGCTCCTTTAAGTCAATGCCACTCAACCACCTTTAGAAATTGCCACACCAGAAAAATAATCTACCGGCCACACACTTCCTAGCAATTAGACATTAATTCCACAAGCTCTTGCATTTTCTCATTTTGAGACTGAATCTCACTCTGTAGTTCAAGCTGGCCTTAACCTTATGATTCTCTTGCCTCTCTCTGCCTCTTAACTACTGGGAGTTCAGGCATGAACCGTATGTGCTGCAGCATCTTTTGTTTTCACATGCTTGATCAAGTGCAGTGGTATATATTACACTGTAATTCTATACTCAGTATATATACACCTGTAATTCTAGTACTCGGGAGACTGAGGCAAGAGGGTAGTGAGTTCAAGACCAGCTTGGACCACAGAACAAGGGCCTATCTCAAAAAATAAAAGTAGGAGCTAGAAAGAAAGCTCAGTAGGTAAAAGTGCTTGCTCTGCAAACATGTGGACTTGAGTTTGAATCCCCAGTAATATTAGGAATTGATAGCTCTTGGGAGAAGGAAAATCAATTTTCTTCAAGTAGAATGACCACACCCCAGGCAGCACACTCAGGAGTAGATGGCTAACACAAATTGGAATCCACTACTTTTAGTGGTTTCTGTTGTTGTTTAAGAGAGAGAGGAACATAAAGTTGGGTGTACAGGGAGGTGGAGGGATATAGTAGGAGGTGGAGGAGGAGAAAGAATATGATCAAAATATATTGCATAAAATTCTCAAGGAGCTGGGTGGTGGTGGTGGTTCACACCTTTAATTCCAGCACTCGGAAGGCAGAGGCAGGTGGATTTCAGTGAGTTCAAGGACAGCCTAGTCTACAAAATGAGTTCCAGGACAGCCAGGGCTGTTATATGGAAAAACCCTGTCCCAAAACACGAAAAACAAAAACAAAAAATTAAAGGAATAAGCTGGGTGGTGGTGGTACATGCCTTTAGTCTCAGCACTCAGGAGGCAGAGGCAGAGTAACTCTGTGAGTTCCAGAACAGCCTGATCTACAGAGCAAGTTCCAGGACAGCCAAAGCTATTACACAAAGAAACCCTGTCTTGAAACAAACAAAAAGCCCTCAAAAAATAAATAAAAACATTTAAAAAAAACATAAAAGGGGCAGGCATGATTGTACATACATGCCTATAACCACAGCACTGAGGGGGTAGAGACAGGTAGACCTGGAATGCTCACTGCCTGGCCAGCCTAGCTTAAATGGAAGCTTCCAGCTGAGAGACCTTGTCTCATGACATAACAAAGAGAGAATAAATAGAGGAAGACACCTGAAGTCCTGCTCTGGCCTCTGCATGTGTGAAAGGGCTCATACACCTGCATACTCACAGGCACGCACAACACAACACACACTAATAAGTAAATATGCTTAACCAAGAGTCCATAGTCTTTTCAAGATTATGAACTATGTAAATGAGCTTGTTTTGTACTTCCAACACTCCTTCAAGTCATTCAGAGGCTTTCATTCAGCTACATTTGCTGTTTTCCCAAAGAGAAACTGATTTCTTACCCTTTTTGGAAGCAATTCCTCTTGAGCTAAAAATCCTCGCTTATGCACAGAGGGGTCATAGTCACCATACTGGAAGGAAAAGAAAAGAGATCATGTGATAGAGATTCTAAAGACTATTGTCATTTCTGAACAAGGCTCAACTCAGTTGGTCCCTCCTTCCAGTTCCAGGGAGCAATTCAATTCTGATGACAAGATTTCAACCTTGCCAGTTTGTTATCCTTGAATGAAAATACAAAGCTGATTATATCTATGAGCAGAGTTGCAAAATCCCATAAGGGATGGATAGGTGATGTGCTAATAAGAATGTGACATTTGTATGGAAATAGTCTGTTTCCTAACCCTCAAAGAAAGCAGTCATTTCCAAACATTAGCGTTGGAATGGAAACAACAAAATGCAACTGTGAAAGCTGTGATTAGCGAAGTGTGATAAGGGCTTTACCTACAAACGCCTCTAAGTGACTGGTAATTGGAGCCAACTGCTAGGTGGGACCAGGGAATACCGCAGGCAATATTTTTAGTACTTTTGCTCAAGGCTCTGAAAATTGCTTTTGGAAGATCTGCTATCAATATTCTCTGTCATTCCTACTGCACAAAGAAACAAAAGGTTAACTGATACAGCCAAAGCTGTAGAGCTGGGAACTAGTGGGACTTGCAATCTACATTTCTCCTCCGGAGGAAACAACTCAGATAGTTTTTCTCTTTTTAAAAAGAGTACTCCTTTGTTTTCTAGAAAACTTAGGTCAGACCAGAGAATCATCCCAAATCAAAGAACGGGCCGGGAATGATGCTCAGTGGCACAACACTAGCCTAGCATGCATAAAGCCCTAGGTTTAAGCCCCAGGCCCAGGTATAAAAAGAGACTGTGGTTAAGCATGGTGGTGCACACCCTTAGTCCCAGCCCTTGAGAGGCAGAGGCAGCTATGAGTTAGAGGTCAGTCACGGTTACATAGTGAGACATTGCCTCAAAGTAAAATAAAAATAAATATGTGAGAGAAACAGAAATATATGCACAAAATCTATCTCTTAGCAGTCAGCAGTCAAGGGGTTCTCTCTCTTTCACATCTACTTATTTGGGCCAGAGTACAATGCCTCAGTGCTCATGTGGAGTCAGTCCTGTCTTTCCACCATGTGAATTCTAGCGGTCCAGCTCAGGTTGGAAGGTTTAGCAGCAAGGCCTTTACCACCTCAGCAGTCCAGTGTTTTATATCTCTCTTTTCTTTAATTAAAAGTTTTATTTCATTTTATGTGTATTAGTGTTTCATCTGCACATTGTATGTCTATGCCCCATGTTGTGTGTGCTTGCTGTCTTTGGAGGTCAAAAGAAGACATCAGATCCCTGGGAACTGGAGTTACAGATGGCTGTGAATCACCACATGGGTGCTGAGACTCAAGCCTGGTTCATCTGCAACAACAGCTCCAGGGAAGTCAGCCCCTATACTGGCCTCTGTGGGACCAGGCATGCACACAATACACATACACACACAACGTAAAACATTCATACAAATAAATTAAGAACCATTTATTTATTTATTTATTTATTTATTTATTTATTTATTTATGTGTTTGTTTGTTTTTGAGACTCTATGTAGCTTTTAGGAGCCTGTCCTGGAACTTGCTCTAGATCAGGCTGGCTTCTAACTCACAGAGATCCACCTGCCTCTGCCTCCCAAGTGCTGGGGTTAAAGGCATGCGCCACCACTGCCCAGCCTAAGTTTTCTTAAATGAGAGCACTAGTCCTGGAGGACCCTGAAGAGACCACTAGAGGGCTGCTACAGAGGACTTTAAACAAGGCATTCTTTCTTAAGCCACAGCATCCTCACCTGGAAAGCGAGGAACAAACTGTAAAGAAACCCAGGTAAGCATTCTGGGGTGGTGCTGGACCCTGGTGAACGTCAGGCATGAGCATCATGGCGACCTTTGCATTACTGAAGACTTCATAGAGATGACTGAAAGCCATGATAATTGTATTTGCAAGCTTTTCAACACTTGTGAACCAAATTTCAATGCAAAAGTAAGCATATATGCAAAGTTAAAGTTGTAAATTCAGGTCTCAAAAGCTTGCAAGATTAACAACCCCCCTTATTAAATTATACCAAGCTCCCAGCTACTACACTGACCAAATATATTCCATCTGAGCAATGCAAAGGTGGTGAAGATTCTGCTGAAAGAGCTTCTTCACTGAACTAACTCCACTCACAACATCAAAGCTACCTTAATGTCTATTTAAAAAACAAAGGGGAAAAATGCTGGTGTTGTGGCAGTAAAAATAAAAGAAAGCCATACCACACTACAAATGGAAATGACTATTCCTCATTTTTTATGTAACAGAAGCATTATGATAAGATCGAGGTAAATTTACTGTGAAAGTAAGAAAGGTGAAGTCTCAAAGCTCTGAAGCTTTGTGGGTCTGTTTGTAATCTTATATTCATCATTTGGTATTCCTGTATTAAAGAAAAACCCCTAAATTGCCTAAATTTCAGAGCCTACAAAACCTGTTTTTATGCTGCCCCTTATAAACATCTTAAATTTAAATGCAAGAAAGGAAGATTGGGGATGTAGATCAGTAATGTAGCTTAGCATGTAACAGATCCATGTTCAATTTTTAGAATTAAAGCAAACCAAGCAAATATCAACACTTTGAAGAACTGACAATTAAGATAAAATTTTTGGGGTTGGAGACATGGCTTAGTAGTTAAGAGCACTTGCTGTTCCTGTAGAAGACCTGGGTTTGATTCTTAGCATCCATATAGTGAATGATAACCATCTATAACTCCAGTTTCAGGATATCTGATGCTCTCTTCTGGTCTCCTTGGCAATTGCATGCACATGATACATAGACATACATGTAGGTAAAACACCCATACACATAAAAATAACTAATTAAAAAATTTTCAGCCAGGCAGTGGTGGCTCATGCCTTTAATCCCAGCACTCTGGAGGCAGAGGCAGGCGGACCTCTGTGAGTTTGAGGCCAGTCTGGTCTACAAGAGGTAGTGCCAGGACAGGTTTCAAAGCTACACAGAGAAATCCTGCCTCGAAAACCAAAATAATAATAATAATAATAATAATAATAATAATATTTTTTCTTGGGTTTGTGATATAGCTCAGCAGTTAAATTTTTGCTGCTGAGTCCAATGATCTAAGTTCTATCCCAGGAACCCATGATGGAAGGAGAGAAATAACTCAAGGAAGTTGTCCTCTGACCTCTACATCCATGTTACAACCCATCACAACCTCACCCCTGCCAAATGAAAAAAAAATGTAATTTTTAATTATTGAAAAAACAAACAAAAAACAAAAACCATCGTGCGTCTGTGAGATGCCTCAGCAGGCAAATGTGCCTTTGTTGAGTCTGACGACCTGAGTTCAATTCCCAGGACCCACATGATGCAGGGGAGAGAACCGACTCTTCTAAGTAGTCCTCTGACTTCCACATGCGCGCTATGGCAGGCACACACACAATAATACATAAATATCTAATTAATTCTTTTAAAATATCAACTTCCCAGTGGTAGCATACACCTTTAATCCAAGGACTTGGAAGGAAGGGGCAGGCAGATCTCTGAATTTAAAGTCTACAGGGCAAGTTCCAGGACTGTCATGGCTACACAGAGAAACCCTGTTTCAAAACAAAAAACAACAAAAACAAAATAATTGCTCTTTGCTGCTTTGGGCTGGGAGTAGAGCTCAGTGGCAAAGTGCTTACTGACCTGAGTCTGACCTCCAATACTACAATGTCAAAGAACTCACCATTTATTTACACAATTCTCTCTCTCTCTCTATCTCTATCTCTCTCTCTCTCTCTCTCTCTCTCTCTCTCTCTCTCTCTCTCCTATTTTCAGGAGGCTAGGTGTGTGGGTATCTCCTATGTTGCCCAGGCTAGCCTCAAACTCTTGGGTTTGAGCAATTCTCCTGCCTCAGACTCCCAAGGAGCTAGGGACAAGTCATCTGAAAAGCCTAAGCTAAAAGGAGTCTCTTTCTGGGTATTGATCTCCTCTCTGTATGCAATGGAAAAAAATCAGACCAAATGTTCTAAAAGGGTTCTAATAAACAAAGTTTGTCATTTATTTTTCTTAATCTCTCTCTCTCCCTCCTCCCTTCCTTTCTATTTTTTTTTTTTTTGAAACATGGTTTCTCTGTGTAACCCTGGCTGTCCTACAGCTCGCTATGTAGACCAGGCTGGCTTCAAACTCCTGAGTGCTGGGATTGAAGGCATGTGCCACCATTCCCAGTTTATATATTTTCTCTTCTTTTCTTTGTAACCATCTGTGTAAAATAGATATCTATTACATATAGTCACTAAATTCCATATGAATCAAGGATATAAACCTATAAACAAAAATCCATAAAAGTACCAGACAAGAGAGGGTGGGAACAATAGTGATTGGTGAAGTCATTCTCAAGACTGACACAGAATAGCAGACAAAGGTTGCTATCACCATAGATGAGCTCCTATAAATCAGTAAGACAAAGACAAGAACATAGCAGAAAAGGGGCAAGTCATAAACAGTCACTGCAGAGTAAAAAAGAACAAATGGCCAGCTAACCCTGGAGATGCTTAGTCCCATTGCAAATCAATACATTTAAAAAAACAAAAAATAAAAAACAAAACCCACTGTTTTTCTGAAACAGGACAGCAAAACTTCAGAAGACTGATCATATCCATTGTTGTGAAGGATGTACAAAAGCAGGTGTTCTCACATGTTGCTGCTGTAAGTTAGATCAGAACATACTTCTAAAGGCATTATTTTTGAGACAAGGTCTCTGTATGTAGACCTGGCAGACCTGGAACTGGTCAAATGCTGGCCTTAACACTCACAGAGATTCTCCTGCCTCTGTTTCCCAAGTGCTGGGATTAAGGGTACGCACCACAAAGCCTGGGCAGACTTATTTATTTTTAATTTATGTGTATGCTTGTGAGCCTTTGTGTGTGAGTATATGTGTACCACATGTGTGCATATGTGTACCACATGTGTGCAGGAGCCCTCAGAGACCAGAAGAGGGAACCGAATGCCCCAGAACTGGAGTTACAGGTTTGTAAACTGCTGAGAAGCAGATGCAGGTCTGATTCAAGAACAGTAGTAATAAGCACTCTTAGTTGTTGAGCCATCTCTCTAGCTCCATCTCACACTATTCTTTTCTTCCTTCTGAAAGAGCCTACAGGCAGCACAAAGTTTCATGAATGATACCCTTATTCTCTCCTAGTAATTTTCAGTACAAACATATTTCAGAAAGAAAGAAAAACACACTTGAAACACTAAATTGTCCATATAAAATCAACAGGTGGCTTAAAAACTGCAAGATGGTTTTGCTTGTCATGTGACTGATCTATTCTTTTGATTCTAGCATAACTCAAACAAGAACCAAGAAATATGGTTCTTGTTGACTGAACCATGTGATTAATATTTGTATTTATATTTTGAAGTTAATTGTTTCTTTATGCTTTGGGATTAAGTGTGTCTATATCATCCCAACAGCTGAAATACTGTAATGAATACATTTGCACACAATTATGTTCCATGTGTTAATGAGCTCAGTTTCACTTCTCCATATTTCTAGAATTTCTTTCTGTTTCAGAATGGCTAGGAAGAAAACAAACTGTACATAATGGAAGGAATAAGTATGGATTACCTAAAAGTGTATTTATTTGAAAATGACATGATAGTATACATTATGACCCTAAAAATTCCATCAGGAAATTCCTACTGATAAAAACTTTTATTTAAGTAGTTGAATACAATGTTAACTCACAACCAAGAAAGAAATCAGTAAAATGACAGCTTTTGCAGTACCCACAAATCATGTAAAATATCCTGGTGTAACTCTAACCAAACAAGTAAAATATTTACATCATAAAAACTTAAGACATTTAAGAAGGTATCAGTAAAAAAAAAAAAAAAAAAAAGAAGGTATCAGTGATGCCGGGCAGTGGTGGCACACACCTCTAATCCCAGCACTTGGGAGGCAGAGGCAGGCAGATCACTGTGAGTTCAAGGCCAGCCTGGTCTACAAGAGCTAGTTCCAGGACAGGTTCCAAAACTACAGAGAAACCCTGTCTCAAAACACCAAAAAAAAAAAAAAAAAAAAAAAAAAAAAAAAAAAAAAGCATCAGTAAATAGGAAGATCTACTTTCTACTTATGAATTGGTAAAATTAATATATTAATAATGAGCATCCTACCATCAAGTTGTTTTTGTTTGCTTATATTTTAAGTGCATTGGTACTTTGCCTTCATGTATGTCTGTGTGAAGGTGTAAGATCCCCTGGAGTTAGAGCTACAAATAATGGTGAGCTGTGTGTGGATGTTGGGGATTGAACATGGGTCCTCTGTAAGAGCAGACAATGCTTTTACCCACTGAGCATCTCTCCAGCCACAGTGTTCATCTTGTAAATGAAACTAGAATTTAGTGAAAGTTAATGTTTGACCTCCACAATCTTCACTAGACAGTGAAGGGGCAGGAACAAAGTGCTGGGTCAGGCAGCCTAGACACCTGGGTTTCCAGCCTGGCTCTACCCTTCGTCCCACTGTTTCAATCTTCATGAAGAGGCATGTATGGTAGAGCACTTGCCTCACGTGTTGGGCTTTGGGTTTTGTCCCCTGTACCATGAAAACAAAACACAACAAAATAAGTGGCTTGTACATTTCATAAGTATAGAAATAACATAAAAGCATTTTGACCCTGAACAAACCATTCATCTTTTTTGTTTGTTTTGTTTTTCTTCAAGACGGGTTTCTCTGCGTAGTCCTGGCCTGTCCTGGAACTCACTATTATAGTCCAGGCTGGCCTTGAATTTACAGAGATCCTCCTGCCTCTGCCTCCCAAGTGGTGGGATTAAAGGCGTGCACCACTACACCCAGCTCATTCACCTTTTCTAACCTTTAATTATGTCAGCTTTGGCTTCCAAAAATACTACATGGGGTATCTTGTGAAATAGTCTGTTGAGCACTTTGATAAACATTATAGATAAGGCTCATTCTACATATGTGCTCACTATTAACCAGTAGTCTGAGAAGCTGGTAACATGGTTTCCTGAATTCAAACAGGGCCTCACTCTACAGCCCTTGCTGGCCTGGAACTCACAGGGATCTGGCTGCCCTGTCTAGTATTAAAGGTGTGCACTACCACACCCAGCCTGAATACAGACTTTAAAAGCTAGAAATTACCTGTATTTGTAAGATTTCTAAATTTAACACCGGAAAAAATAGTTCGAGCACCTACCTCCATATGAACCACATATGTTGTCTGTGAATCACTTTCATCTCCAAATTGGCAGAAGCCAAATAAGTAGGGCTTTCCTGCAGTGAAATCTGTTCAAGCAAACATCTGCTGGTTCCTTGAAAACAATCCCATCCCTCTGCTCCCAAATAAGTGGGCTTTGAATTTGTGACCCAAAACCCATAGCCTTTGAGACTGAGGTAATATCCTTGAGAGCTTGGCTGGGTTTCAAATAGGAGAAACATGCAAAAAAGGGGCTCAATTCTGAGCCAAGTACATGGATTTAAGGAAAGAAATGATGACTGCTTTGTCACTGTTAGGACTGAAAGGATACATTTTTCCTGTTACTAATATTCTTGATCAAAGCATAAAAGGAGCATATGCTTTACTTGAACCACAGCCCATTTCCTGTTTTCTCAATTATTCCTTTTTCAAGGAAGGTATAAAATATAACTCTAAAGCCATAGATTCTGTCTCTAGCTTCACCCATGAAGCTACCAAAGACCTTGGAGAATCACTGAGGGCAGAACTCGCTCTAGTGCCTGCATCGGACAGTTAAGAGGCCTCATGTCTCAAGCCCTGTGCCTACTCAGCAGACACTAATGGGTCATCAAATGACTAAACTGACTCTGTGCTTCTACTGGCCTGACCAGCACACACACTTTGAAGCCCTTTTCCCATTCCAAATGGCAAACAAGTCATTCCTGGCTTTGATCTGAAAATGTGAGTAAGGTGGGAAACTCAAGGGTCATCAAACACTCTAGGTGGCCTTATAATGGGACAGAAACTCAGTGATGCTCCTCTCTCACCACTCCTGGTCTGCTGTCTAACCGAGAATAAACGACTTTAGGCTGATGAGACAGCACCAATGGGCCTAGCAGGCTCAGCAGACCCAGCTCCTAGCCACATGCACAAAGTATACTTACTGGGGCCTCACCAGAAGTGTGGCTTCTAAGAATGTATTCTCTGGAAAGATGAGTTTGGATAGAGAATCTGGGTCCTGTTCACCTAAAGGCCTCATTTGATCATAATTAGAGACCATAAATTCACTTTCCCTGACTAATAAAACAAAGCTGATGCAATGAATGTAATGAACCACATGTGCATAATGAGATTACATAGAGAATCCATCTTTTTGAATGAATTCACTTAGAATGAATTGTAAGTCATTAGAATGATATGCTTGTCACTTGTATACACAATATACATATATACAAAATATGCAGAAGTTATGGCAGCAACAGTAGATACCCAACTCTCATGGCATCTCATTTTCGGGGGCAAGTTGTTCTGAAGTCTCCAAAATCCAAAAAAATGGAAAATTGGAGCCATGCTGTGGCATGTTAATGCTGAGGAAGAATGCATTTTTCTTTCTTTGGACCCACCTTGGCCTGGACAGCATAGGAAGCCAAGAGCACTGAAGCCTCAGGAGGGCAGTAGATCTTTTCATCCAAAATCTGTTTCTTCACCTGAAAGGGGCAAAAAGAGAGAAAGGAGAGAGAGAGAGAGAGAGAGAGAGAGAGAGAGAGAAGGGGGAGGGGAGGAGATCATGAGATGGCATGTTTGGAAGACAGCAGTCCGCCTGGTCACAGCGGATGGCTGCAGGTATTCTAAACGAGGACTGCCAAAGCAGCCTATTAATGATTTTCTGACAAAGGAGACTTTTTTTTTAAAGTGTTGCAGACCAGTTGAGAGTTCAGCCGCTAAGAAGTTACCAGTAAGCTTGCTGCACAAAAGCCCTCATCTCTTCTCCTCAGAGTCAAGGCTGGAGAGTAAAGACGATCTGCTTGACTACAGCAGAGACTGACGGGGGCTATGGCTAAGGGTGGCTGCACTCTGTCTCAGTCTTGGGCCCTGTGGAGCACACACAGTCCTAGAAGAGATGGAAGCTACTTTCCAATCTTCATACAAGACAAAAGGCATCAAGGCCACTGAATTATGACTGTAGAAAAAAGTCATCTCTTTCAATGTGCTGCTCTAAGGAAAAAGGAAGCAATAAAATTTGATCGATTCAACTTTTAAGTACACATGAGGTTCAGGAAATATAATTCCTAAGCCATAATATTGAATTAACATATCTCACTGCACCTAACTCTGTACAGTGGTGCAGTGTATGATGTTCCAGACACAAGGACAAGAGAGTCACATGAAGTGGGGGTACATTAAGGAAAGCCAACTCTTTTCACAGATTCCTATATTAGTAGACGTTGCCTTGCTTACTCATAAAAACAACCTAACATCTCAGTATGAAGGAAAATCAAGCAAAAGTCACAGGTACTCACAGGAAAGTCATTCCTATAATACTAAGGTAGTCTGGTCTCATGTAGCTTAAGGTGGTCTTGAGCTCTCTATGTAACTGAAGATGACCCTAAATTTCTGATCTTCCTGTGGATTACAAAAGTTCGCTATGCTCAAGGCTTCATGAATACAAGGCAAGCATTCTATAGAGCTATATTCCCAACCCCAAAGAAACTTCATGTGGCTTTATTCACACATACAGTTCTCCCCAGGTTTTAAACTACATGAAAATAAAAGCTGAGATGTTCTAAAGCAGTGAAACCTTCAGATCTCCTAGTATCTTTACAAAAGATAAAAAAGAAACCAAAATACAAAAAATCTGAAAGGGCTACCTTTTGACCTAAAACACACATGCATGCATGCATGCATGAAACTCCTTTGTAAAAGAAACTAGTTAGCCAGGCATGGGGCACACATTCCAGCATTCTAGAGGCTGAGGCATGAGCCTTAGCTATGGAGTGAGATCCTCTTAACAACACACACAACACAACACAGCATTATACAGAGAGTAATGTCACAGTTCACAATCTATATCCTGAACACAACACAGAGGCTCCATATTACAAGGCTTGTGTGAAGAATCCCAGGTGTACTTCTGGGAAGTCAATGCATTTAATACCCTGTTACAATCTGTCACATCACAGACAGTGGGCTACCTTGGGGCACATACGCAATTTCAGCATCAATCACCACAGATAGCCATAAAACTGAGGAGGCTCTCTGACAAAGTAAGGTTTCCATCCTTAAATAAGCAACTCCCTGTGTCCCTAGATGGTCAATTTGTAATTCTGGAACACCCAATTTCTTCAGTTTGGTTGAAGAATTATTTAAGAATACCAACTGTATATTCAACGAGCCTATCTTTAAGGGGCCTGCAATCCAGTGAAGGAGGAAATGACAATATACACCCAGAGTAGCACAGAGCAGGCTGTCTGAAATGCCTTAGGCAAGGGTCAGACCAGAGTCACTGCCATTCAGAAGAACTGCCTTGCTGTCGGCAGTTAGAGGAACTAAGCTAAGCCTCTGAAGCTTTTCTTTATAACCTCAGAGTGCTTTCAAGTTAGCTAGAAGAAACTGGGCTCCATGGTCACGGAGGTTTATAACCTGCTTCTGTCTGTGCTGCATCATCACACCTCTGCAATTCCATCTGACACCAATTCTCATCACTCGGGGAAAGTTCTATTCTGAAGATTTTTCTTTTTCCATTACTGAACCAAAAGGACTGACTATTTGGAGGCAAAATATTTTCTGCAGTATAGAAGCATTTGTGGTCAACTCCAAGGGGTTGGCCTGGGCTGCTTCTGTAAACATACTCAAATCGGTCCTCTTAGTACTGGGGGAGATAGCATGAGCCAGTGTACCTGTAAGAAAAATAAGTGTTGCGTGATCTCTTGAACTAGCTCCTCCTCAGCATTCTCAGGATAAAATTTGGCCAGGAAGTGAAAGGTAACCGGTTCTTCCTTCGAAACATCATGATCCAACACCTGCAGAATTTCAGACAAAAGACATGCTGTGCTGGCTCCTCTTCTTCACGCACTGTTATCAGAGTATGCTTTGCAGGGAAGGTATGAAATCCCTTCCCTTGTTACAAGCATCCCATTTCCCAAAGGTTGTATTTCTACAATTGGAAGGATTCACAGAGCCATCCACAGCAAGAGATAATTTCCACTTCGCATAGGGGGTTCTGAATCAAACAATCAATAAACTCAAGGGGTGACCAGAGCTACAGAGAGAGCAGCAGTGTCAAAGCCACAGAAAATAGCTATAAAACTAGAATGTATAACTCAAAGATCTTGGGCATTATCCTTTATGAAAGACTGAAGTTGTATTCTGAAATAGTAACATCTTCCTTTATTCCTTTTTTTTTTTTTACTGACCACTCTAATAGGTTCCCCTGGAATACAACTTAAACACAATAAACTAGATCTTTGTGACATTGTTTATATGTTATGAATACTAGAAGTAAAACATGGCCATCATGGCAATGCTTTGTTCGTGGAATCTTTCAGAGATGATCACAAAATGCTTGCATGCAGTAAGTAAACCACTGTCTTTAATCTTCTAGCAATCCCAACACCCCCTGAAAAGACTGGACCATCTGCTCTCCAGAGTGAATTTCATTTCAGGACATAAACATGCTACCAGGCTCCATTAACATGTGTCATAATTTATTTCCTTTGAGCAGCAGGTTCTATGACTCCTGATGCCCCCAATCTAATATCCATTTGGCTAACATTCAGGTATGATTTAAAATTCACTTTGCTGAGAATCATAAAAAGACACAGAAAGCTTTGCTGTGTTTCAGAATTCTCTATATGCCTGCCTGAATTCCAGTGGCAGTCTCAGGGGACTCACAATAAGTCTAATCTAGTTGCCCTCCTCAGCACTGGCTCTTTGTGGCACCTGGAGTTTCTAATCATTGGAACTGACCACGGAAACTGACAATGATCGGGAGTTCTAAGCATGAAGGCAATCACCACATACATGCTGTGAACACAATTTGAATATCTCACTTAACACTAGTAAGGTGGGACTTTTGCTGGTTATCACATTATGCAGGAGGTAACTTCAGGGGCAATTGACAGGGGCACCATTTAGGGTCAGAATTGGACATGGAGTCACTTTGGGAATCAGAGGTCTTTTGGCCATGTTCTTCAGCTGTGTTCACTGTTAGGTAGTCAGGAAAATAGACAGGCGTGTCTTTGTGTGGATATATGAGCCCATAAATGGGCAGCCTCCCTGAGCCATTTTCAAGCCATCTTCAAAATTACTAGAAACCTAGATTTCACGTGCTTAAGAAACCCCAGAGAATCCTGAGGAGGAAATGGGCATTGCTCCTTCTCCTCAGGCTCTTTATTCCTTAAGTCTTGTTAATGATTAAGTCAGTTGGGTCTTGGTGTTCTCAAAGACTTATTTAAAATAAAAAAAAAAAATGAACACGAGTCCTAGGAGAATCTCTCAAAGACATAAATTGTTGTTTTTTTTTTTTAAAGTATACAAAGGTAATGTTATCCATAAAACCTGACTAGTGGTTCAATAAACGGAAGGGCATAATGCCAAAAAGCAGACAGAGTAGTGACAATGGGTAGAAAAGCTGGTCAAGGTTTAGACATGGTGAATCCTGCTTGTCTGGGAGAGTCTGTGGAGAACAGAAATGCCTGTAGGACTTGTTTCCTAAACATATGACTTAATATTAAAAATTGCCCTCTTCTTTACTATGTCCTTGTGATACCCCAACAATAAGCAAATGAGCTAAGTGCATGCTCAGGAAGAAACCAAACAAAACAACAACAAAAACAAAACAACTGGAAAGTACAAGCCTCCCCCACTGGTTTCATGGAGATCTAGCCCAACCTTCTTGTCCATTTTGAGCCAGGCCACAGTGTCCTTGATTGTGTACTGCAGTCCAAAAAACCAGGTTTCCCGAAGCCCCAGTGTCCGGCACACCAAATCAAACAGGTCCTTCCCTTTCCATTTCATCTGCAATATAACAAACCAACAGGGAAGGACATTGTAAGCAAAAATCATAATCAGTTCATACACAAAACTGTTCTCAACACTCTCTACTGTCACCAAAATGGCTGATGAGCACTGAATTCCTAAATAATTTCAAAGCTTCCAACACAAAACCATGAGTGGGAAAATACCAATTAGAGCTTAATGGCTCAATTGCTGCGGAGCACATACAATAACTCCTTGGACAGTTCTGTACAGATCGCAATATCCCTGAAGCTGCGAGTTTAGCAAACCTGGTAAATAAGCAGCCTCATTTAGGAGAGTCAAGCATCCTAAATTAGCCCAGGAAGATGGCTAGTTTGTGAAACACAACCTCCCTTGAGATTGGGTTTTTGTTTTGTTTTTGTTTTTTGTTTTTTGTTTTTTTTTTTTTTTTTGGTTTTTTCGAGACAGGGTTTCTCTGTGGTTTTGGAGCCTGTCCTGGAACTAGCTCTTGTAGACCAGGCTGGTCTCGAACTCACAGAGATCAGCCTGCCTCTGCCTCCCGAGTGCTGGGATTAAAGGCGTGCGCCACCACCGCCTGGCTTGGTTTGGTTTTTTGAGACAGAGTTTCGCTGTAGCTTTGGAGCCTGTCCTGGAACTAGCTCTTGTAGACCAGGCTGGTCTCGAACTCACAGAGATCTGCCTGCCTCTGCCTTCTGAGTGCTGGGATTAAAGGCATGCGCCACCACCGCCTGGCTTGAGTTTTTTTTTTTTCTTAAATCATGACTCTGCCGTTTGATAAAAGGTTAAGTATTCTCTTTTTAACTTAAAGACTAGTCTTACCAGGAAAAAAAAATTAAATATATGGAAATTATAACCAAAGCCACAAATTGTAGAGCAGAAGAACCATGAGAGACCAGATAGGCCAGTTTCAGGTCTCTATCAGGATGCCTGGTTGGGTCCAAGCAGAAGCAACTTGCCCACAGGCACAAAAAGCAATTCCAAATGCTCAGTGTCCAACCCATGTGATGAATATACAAATTAACTATGGCATGTTTATTCCATAGCCTCACTTTCAAAAATACTTAAATCTCTGCTAAACCATTTTCTTTTTCTCTGCTATTCAATGGTGTAGGTGGAAAAAGCAAGCTCAAACATCTTCATAGGAAAAGAGGATGCAGGGCAGCTGAGTAAATGTTGCCACCTAGTGGATTTCAGTCAATTAAATTTTTCCTATATTACCTCTTAGTTACTGCTTACTGGATATTCACCCCAGTCATCCCATATATCAAATAAACATTCAAATAAACACTTGAATACAGCTATGATCATATTAAAAATATGCAAGAGCAATCCTGAGACGCGAATGTAAAGGAATAATAAGATCACCTGACTACAGAAGTATCTGCTCTTCTCCCATCCCCACCAGGAAACCTTCACCCTTCTGGGAGACAGCTCAGTAAAATGCTTGTCACTTAAGCCTGAGAACCTGAGTTGGAACCCAGCACTCATGTAAAAAGCTGGATGTGAGCCTAGTGGTGGCAACATATGCCTTTAATCCTAGCACTCAGGAGGCAGATCTCTGTAAACTTGAGACCAGCCTGGTCTACAGAATGAGTTCCAAGACAGCCTGGAGGGTTTTACACAGTGAAACCCTCTTGAAACACCCCCACACAAAAAAAAGTTGGTTGTGGTGGCCCATGCTTGTAATCTCGGGGGTGAGGGTGCCAACCAGCCTAATAAAGGAACCCAGGTCCCACTGAGCATAAAACTTAAAAAAAAAAAAAAGAGCCAGCAATGGTGGTGCAGTTCTTTAATCCCAGCACTTCAGAAGCAGAGGCAGGAGGATCTCCAAGTTCAAGGCCAGCCTGGTCTACAGAGCAAGTTCCAGAACAATCAGGACTACATAGAGAAACCCTGTCTCCCTCCACCCACACACCATGGCATTCACATCACACACACCCCCAATAGATAAACATGAACAAGGTGAATGGCTCCTGAGGAACCAGAGGCCGACCTCAATGGTTGATCTCAATGTTTGTGTCGGGTATGTGAAATGAATATGTGGAGCTATATGGCTCTGGGGACCAAACTCTTGTAGACAGGCTTGTACAGTAAGTGTTTTTACCAACTAGCCATCTTGCCCATCCCTTTACCATTCCCCCCACACCAAGTGCTAGGGATCAAACTCAGGATCTTGCGCTTCTTAGGCAAGTATCCTACTACTGAACCATACTCCCAGCTTTAATAGATGTGAATGTAGAGTCTTCTTCCAGTACTCAACAGGAAAAGCCAACTCTCTGTGTGTTTGCAGCCAGAGTCAGCAATCCAAATGGTTGGACACCAAGATCACAGCACACAAGTGGCATATTGGCTTTGGTCCTTTACCAAGCAAGGCATTTTTCCTATCTGTCCTGCAACCTTGGCCCAAAATCCTCTCTGACTATAATCAGGTTCCTTGAATACTACAAAGATGGAAATCTTAAGATTTTTGAGTAGGAAAAAAGGTTTTATTTTATTATTATTATTTATTTATTTATGTATTTATTTTTGTGGTTTTTCGAGACAGAGTTTTTTTGGAGCTTTGGAGCCTGTCCTGGAACTAGCTCTTGCAGACGAGGCTGGCCTCGAACTCACAAAGATCTGCCTGCCTCTGCTTCCTGAGTGCTGGGATTAAAGGTGTGCGCCACCACCACCCAGCTCAGTTTTATTTTTAAAATATAATTACTTTCCCCCTTTTATAAGGCTGGATAATAGACACACCCATTTGACAACCGGACGGAGAGTTTTTTAATTCTTTGAAGATCTTAATTCCTACAGGCAGACTTAACTGAAGAAATGTTATTTTGGAGAAGTGGAAGCTTCAGGATGCTGATTATCCTCTTGTCTCTATTTTAAGCAGCACACAGTATATAAATTATAAATGCCTACCTTGCCACAAGATAACGTGCCACTAAAGAACAGGCATTAACTCCGGGAAGTTAAACACCCAAGGGCCAAGACGATCAGGATATCACTCCCAATTCACCATAACTCACTGGCACCGCAAGGCTTAGCCTTGGCTGTCAGAAAGCAGGGTGAGTAGAGCCCTGGAAGGAAAGTGAACTTCCATACTGGAGAGCTGAAAATCTCAACGTAATTCAACCCCTTCCAATTCTTTCTTTTTAAAATGAGGGCCTATTTTTTTTGTTAAATGGAAAAAGCCCTATGGAGCTTGCAATAAAGTGAGGAGACAATTCTCCCAATAATCCAGAATGCCCTACTTACATTATTTTCCCTACTTATATCTTAACATTGGTGCAAAGTACTACTGACTACTGGAGCTGGAAAGGGGCCTCCGGAGTCACCACTGTGAATAAATGCTCTTGTTAAACTAAGTAAGTAAACCGCGTCACCAGCTATTCGGCAGTCTACTAAAATGAACACTGGCCTGTTTTTTCATGGTGATCCAAGGGAGGCAAACTCCTTATCTCACAAAAAGCCTTTTCCAGCTCTGTGATCATCAAATCTTTTTGCCCCTACCTTGGCCAGTAATGACCAATACTGAAACAGAACCCCTTCTGAGAAGAGTCAGACACAGCTCATTCACAGCTCTGTGTGAACAGAGCCTGTTTTCCAAGTACTGTAGAGCATACCCAAGTGTCACACACTGAGGCTACACAATGGCAAAAGCAGGGTGTCTGTAGGAGAAAAAGGCAAGAACTCAGGTCAGAGGAGAACTGAAGAACAAGTGAGGGTTCAATGATGAAGGGAAGTAACACTATTTTAAAAACAAAACAAAACAAAAGGCCATGATCATTACAGGGAACTGCAAATCTATGTGATGGGATTGAAACTCTCAGGCAACCTCAGGAGTGGGGATGGTGGAGCAGGTGTCTCGCCTCAAAGAACAACCTCAGGCTTTGAGGATTCCTCTGATTTATGCCAACAGGCTGAAGAATAAGCTGCAGGGAAGGAACAGTTGCAGGATGGACAAGAACACAGAGCAGGTGACCCCCTCCTGTCATCAAGAAGGCAAAGAGAGAGAAAGAGGCTGAGAAGCAGAAGGAGGCAATCCCAGAACCAACACTTTAATAGGCTAGAAGGAGAAAAACTCCAGGACACCTACCTGCATTTCCGGCTGGAGCACCTGGTATCCCACTGAAAGAGAGAAGGAATACAGAAAAAGCAGCAAGTTTGGGGGGAAAGATGAACATTAAGTTTTAGACAAGATTAGTTAAACTAAAGAAAGCAAGTGATCTATCTGATGGTTATGTGCCTTTAATTCCAGCAGTCAGGAGGCAGAGGCAGGCAGATCTCTGTGAGTTCAAGACCAGCCTGGTCTAAATAGTTAGTTCCAGGTCAACCAAGTATACCCTATCTCAAAAAAAAAAAAAAAAAGGAAAAGAAAAGAAAAAAAGAACAAAAAGGAAGGAAGCAAAGTAGAGATGTCCTAAATATATTTAAGATAGATTAGATAGATAGATAGATAGATAGATAGATAGGGATATGATAAATACATATCAAGCTCTCTGAGCTGAGGAGCTAGTTCAGCTGCACTGCCACAAAGCCTAAGAACCAATGTTTCTTCTCTGAGACCCACATGGTAGGAGAGAGCTGACCACCAGAACAGGCAATAGGTCATCCTCTAACCTTTGTATATGTGCCCCCAATACAGACACAAAGTAAATAATTTTAAATATTTTTTTAAAGAACTTAAAGACCGGGGCTGGAGAGATGGCTCAGCGGTTAAGAGCATTGTCTGCTCTTCTAAAGGTCCTGAGTTCAATTCCCAGCAACCACATGGTGGTTCATAACCATCTGTAATAAGGTGTGGTGCCCTGTTCTGGCCTGCAGGCATACACACAGGCAGAACATTGTATACATACATACATAAATAAATAAATAAATAAATAAATAAATAAATAATTTTGAAAAAGAACTTAAAGACCTTCATTTATAAAATAAAATATCCTACGGTGAGTCAGGAAGATTCGTTGAACCCAGGAGTCTAAGATAACCTTGCATAATACAGTGGGGCCTCATTTCAAAACAAAAGAAAA